CCTACGTCATCGCTGGACATGTCTGTTGACACTTTGCTCTATCAAACAGACACGTCGGAACGATTTTTTTTTTATTTTAATTTTTTTTATTTTATTTCTATATTTTCTTTATTTTTTACCCCGTTTGTTCTGCTTTTTCTTTGGGAGGAAGGTCGATTGAAACAAGCTCGATTTAGAACGCCGTACGGAGTCAGGGATCTTTCGTTTTTTTCTGTCTTACCTCAATTTTCGATGAATTATCGGTCTGCCCTTTTTTTTTTTTTTATGGCGGCCATGGCTTGCCATCTCGTGTCTTTTTTCTTCATTCGAAGTCGGATATTTTGAAATGATTGCCTACATTCAGCAACCTCATTTTTTTCTGCTTTTCTTTACTTCTCATCTATCACATCCCAGGGTCCATTGGTTCCGTTCACCGTCATTTCTCCCCCTTCCGTCTCCCCCTTCCCCTTGAAGATTCCGCTGTCGCACGCCGGTGTTTGAATCGACGATCCCCCGATCTCCGGCCGACGTGTTTTCTTTTTTCATATTTTCCTTCTTATCCGGACTTACCGCCACGGATCATCCTACGTTCACTACTCTACCTCTTGTCCGGTCCGATGTTATATCCGACGGTTTCGGCTGTCGTTCCGATTCCCTCCCTTGTCGTTCATTTCTCAAGGATTCCCCGTGTTCCGTTCTTTAGCTCATCGTCTCAATCGGCGTTGGAAGTCAGGGCGTCTTGTTTTGGCTGATTGATTTTTTTATTTCCTCTCTAATCATTTGACTTTTACTGTGATGTTGTGAATTATTTCCGCCTGTCTACCTGTCTACCCAGATTGCTCGCTCGATTTTTTCAGTTTGTGAAGCCTGTTTCTTTTTATGACTTTTAGTGGCGAGATACTGGAATTAGAAATCGACTCAATGAAGCCAGTGATATCAAATTTGCCGTGGGCAGCTCTTCTTGCTGCAAGGGACTTTTGTCAGTAATCTACGGAGTATAACTCTGTCGCAACAGATGATGAAACGTTGAATTGTCACAGGTTTTCATGATTCATTAAGCTATTGGCATGACAGGTACGATACGATCAGAGCTCGTCCTTATCGGTACCTTGGTGAACAGATTCCGCGACATCCTCTTTCCGTCCATACCAACCACCAACATCCCCCGCACCAGCCTTGACAAGAGTGGTGATAATCTCAAAAGCAACCTGCGCAGCAGCCAGAGCAGTCGTCTCACCCTTGTTATCATAGCTAGGCGACACCTCCACGATATCAGCACCGACGATATTCAACTTCTCAATACCGCGCAGAATGCGAATCATCTCCCGCGTCGTCCAACCACCAGGCTCAGGCGTACCAGTCCCAGGAGCAGTACTCGGATCCAAGACATCAATATCCACTGAAAGATACACAGGCTGCTCGGGATCAAGCCCAATCCGATCAACAATCCGATTCACAATACCCATAGGTCCACCCAGCTCATCGATGTCATCAGCGTGAATGCGCAGGAAACCCTGCTCCGGACCGGGATTCGTATAATCGCTATCGTCCATACCCGTCAACCGCGTGCGCAGCCCGGCATGCGCCGACGTCGAATTACAAATAAGACCCTCGCGACTAGCCTTGTGGAAAAAACTCCCGTGGTTGAACCCCGACTGCTCCGATACCCAGTACGCCGAGTACCGCGCCGGATTCCACGTATCCAAATGCGCATCGAAATGCAGCACCGTGATGGGTTTCTGATAGATCTGGTACAGCGCGCGCAGGGCCGGCAGCGCCACGCTATGGTCGCCACCCAGCGTGACTAGCTTGGTTTTTCCGGCGGAGATGCCCTTTACTTTACTGGATGAAGAGGATGTGATGGCGGGCCGGGAGCCGAGTTCAAGGAATGCATCGTACATCTGCCGCTCAGCGACGCCGTTGTCAAAGGGCATGATTGGGATGTCGCCGCAGTCTTTGATTGTTGCCCAGGCGTTGTACGGGTTGATTCCTGCGCGCGTGTTGAAGGATGTTCCGGCCATTTGGCGGGCGCTGGCGGCGCGGATGGCGCGGGGGCCGAAGCGAGCGCCTTCACCCATTAGCCCCTGTACTCAGAATGCGCATAAGCTGTAGAAGAAAGGGACGTACCTGGTCTATAGCTAACGGCGGTATCAAACGGCGCGCCGATAACGGCAATGTCGTAGCGCTCGTCGGGCTCGATAAGGCATTTTACGGGCTTGAGGTGCGCAAAGCTGGAGATTCCGGTGAAGGACCACTGCGCTTGTTAGTCCGGCTTATCAGGGATGAATTTAGAGGGGAATGGATGATGGGATACCTCTTGATCCCATTTCCTGAGGAGCTCCTCGCGCACGTGCGGGGGAGCTACCTCGTCATGATCATGGTGGGCGTGCGATAAGGCTGAGCTCGATAGAGCTAGCCATATAACAAGGGACTTCAACATTGTCGGATACAATTGTAATATTTGCAAGAAGTAAAAGAAAGAAAAAAGTAAGAAAAGAAAATTGGAGAAGTTTTTATATTTGTAGTATTCGCCGTATCTCAGTACTATCTCCGTCTACTCCGCAGACCACACATTTTTATCAATCCCCATCTCCACGAACTTCCCAAAAAGCAACAGATCACTTTAATTGCCCCGCCGGGATCGAGCCGAGACGAGTCGCCGTTGGACAATTGAGAGACAGTGGTTCGGCCGTGATTAGATACAAAAGGTAAAGAGAGAGGGCAAAAAAAAAAAAAAAAAAAAAAAAAAGTGGGTGTGACATCGTGCAGAGTTTCCCCTTTGGGATGGATTTCACTGACTTGCGTCTACTGCAGGTCGGGGATTACTTTTAACTGCTGGATTGGGTATAGTATGTTTCTGTGTTCTAGACATTGCATTTAGTACGTTCTTATTCAATTGATCGATAGGCAGTGTCACCGTCACAGTATGCGTCGTGTCGTCGTGACGGGTTTAGGTGCCGTGACGCCGTTGGGTGTCGGTACGTATACTCCATTCTATTTCTATCTCTTTCTACAGCAATCGCCCGATTGTATACCTTTCCCATTGCCCAGAAGGGAAAGTCCTTCAGACCATACACAAACACCATACATATGCACAGGCTCAGTCTCAATCACTAATCGACGACAGGAATCCGCCGCACCTGGTCCCGCCTCCTAGATAACCACTGCGGCATCGCCAACGTCCGCAATCGCGATCCCCGTTTCGTGGATCTCCCATGCCAGGTTGCTGCTGTTGTGCCGGCGGGGAGTCGGAAGGAGGGTGGGTGGGTGGCGGGTGAGTGGGTGAATCGGGATGTAAGTATTTTTCTCTTCTCTGTGTGAATTGGGATTGATGTGGAATACTAATGAGGGTGTAGGAGGAGAGAAAAATGGCGCGGTTCGCGCAGTATGCTATGGCTGCTACTGAGGAGGCGTTGGAGGATGCTGGGTGGAGGCCTGGGGTGGGGGATGTTGAGGAGAGGGAGATGACGGTACGCCTTTTTCTTCGATGGCTTGCTTGGGAATGGCTAATAAGTAGCAGGGAATCTGTCTTGGATCGGGGATTGGGAATTTTGATGAGATTTATGATACCGTGGTTGCTTATGATAGGGGGGTGAGTTTCGTCTATCGTCGTTCTTGAATGAAGTGAAAGCAAACCGACAAAAACAGGGCTACAGGAAGGTTTCGCCGCTATTCGTCCCCCGGATATTGATTAATCTCGGGGCAGGGCATATATCCATGAAATACGGATTCATGGTGAGTCATTTCACTTCAGGAACTGATACTAAGAATGCATACTCACTGTAACGCACAGGGCCCCAACCACGCCGCAACAACAGCATGCACAACCGGAGCCCATTCTATCGGTGACGCAGCTCGCTTTATCGCCTGCGGGGATGCAAATGTCATGGTATCTGGGGGTGCTGAATCGTGTATACACCCACTGGCAATTGGCGGGTTCGCGCGAGCACGCAGTCTGGCTACAGATCACAACGATACCCCCGAAAAAGCGTCGAGACCATTTGATGCAGACCGCAACGGGTTTGTAGTTGGTGAGGGTGCCGCCATGGTTGTTCTCGAGGTTCGTCCCTTTCCCCTCTATATTGTCTGGCTGCAGGTCTAACTAGGTGCAAAGGAACTCGAACACGCCAGAGCCCGAAATGCCCCCATATACGCCGAACTAAAAGGCTACGGCTGCACCGGCGACGCCTACCACATGACCGCGCCCCGTGAAAACGGCGAAGGAGCACTAATGGCCATGAAAAAGGCACTTCGGAATGCAAACCTGCCTCCGTCGACGGTGGATTATGTGAACGCCCACGCGACGTCGACGTCTATCGGCGATGCTGCGGAGAACGCAGCTATAAAGTCTCTTCTTCTTGGCCCTGGAGGGAAACAGAAGGCTTCTGAGGTTAATATTAGCAGTACGAAGGGTGCTGTGGGGCATCTTCTTGGTGGTGCTGGTGCGGTAGAGGCGGTTTTTACGATCCTTGCTATTCATAAGGTACCTCCCTTTTCTGGACTTAGAGGAGAGGGCTTGCTGACGGAGATAGAACGTGATGCCTCCGACTATTAACCTGGAGAAGCTGGGAGATGGCTTTGACTGTAATTATGCGGCGAACCAGGCGCAGGAGAGGGATATCGGGGTCGCGTTGACGAATAGTTTTGGGTTTGGGGGGACGAATAGTAGTCTTTGTTTTGCGAGGTTGCGGGATTGAGGTGGATGAGTTTTAGATTGTATAATAGTGGTAACATAAAAATTTCACAAGCTCATTGATCCCAGATCAGATCCGGCGTTTATTGAAAAAATGGCTAGAGCCAAACTTGTGGAAGTAGGATTAGGAATAATCAAACGGGCCGGGCCTTCAGGCCATACTAGGGCATCTGGATGCTAGGATTATCGGTGAATTACAAGGTGTCAAGATCATGCATAGACAAGGATGTAAAAAGATAATATGGAAGAAGAGACTTGATTTCACTAATTATATGAGAAAAGAAGAAATCTATAGTAATACACAAAGAGCGAAGAGGCCAATTAACTTGCCTTAACCAAACCTAAACTCACCACCCCATCTTCCTCTTCAACTCCTTATACCCCGCCGTCTCAAAAGGACTCTTCGTCGTCAGCAATCCATTACAAACCTACACCTGCCAATCCTCAATCACCTGCTCGCACAGCCGCAGATACTTATGCCGGTTCTTATCAGTCTCCCACAGATGAAGCGTTTTCACATCGGAATAGAGATTCAGAACACGGATTATCGCGCGTGATTCGAGGATCTGGTGGGTGTGCGAGAAGTCGATTCCGTATCGTGACCGGAAGGCGTCTATTTCGGTGCAGAATTTGGGGAAGGAGGTTATTAGTAGACCTCGGATTCGGATTATGTCGGCTTCTATGGAGGATACGCCGGTCCATGAGGGTGTGTCTGGAGTAGGTGTGTCTGGAGTAGGTGTGCCTGGAGAGGTTGGTGCAGACTCAGAAGCAGGTGCAGATCCAGATCCAGACGCAGATGGAAATGAAGACGCACCGTAAGGTGGAGCTTGCTGGCGTTCAAGTTCCAGTTGACGTAGTTCAAGTTGACGGCGTTTACAATCCTCTCGCTTGGAGACTATTTCAAGTGCAAGGGCCGTGATCTCTAGGGTTTTCAGCTCCTATTTTCGGTTTCGAAAAAACATGACGGGGGACTCTTGTGGTGTGGTGTCTGCGTCGGCTTGGAAAACTCGTTTCTCTTCCATGTAGACTGTGTTGTCATTTTGGGTTACGGATTTCACCCAGGCGGTCGACTTCACGCGCCTCTTCTTCGCAACTGCCCGCAACCCTGAAGTCAGTAGCCGCATGTTATATTGTTTTTTGCGATGGGGCTTTTGGGGGTTAAGATTCTTCAATTTGTTCGTTTTATGTGGTGCCTGTTGTGACGCAATTATGAGGGCTTGTATGTACAGCCCTGGCGTGATCTCTCATCATAGAATGGTAGATAATCGCATGTCTTTTATCTGTTGGTCTTCCTTTTCAAAGACCATAAAATGCGTCTCAACGCGGATAGCCACATACCGTATCCAAACAATAATGTGACCTAGACACTCGTAGTCTGTCATGGCTCGCCGGGCAAAGTCACCACACCATGCATCCCGCGCTTCTGGAGATGTGGATGAGAATAGCCCAACATATCTAGCTGTCGGGGCCGTAGATCTGTCTGCCGTGCTAACACCTGGAAGCCAGGTCCCGTGATCAAAGCGCATGGGGGGTTGAAAATGATATAGGCCAGCGTAATGATATTGATGGACGGTTGTTCTGGTTTGATCCGATTGTCAGCTTGCGTTAACTTGGAGGGCAGAGAAAAGTGACATACACTCTGTAGCGTCGATAGGCAGATTCAAATGCTTGTTTATCGGCATTATTTACTGGGACGTGGAAGGTTGTTATCTCGAGGTTCTCGCTTGAGCCAAGATTCGAAGGATAGGGGATTGTTGGATAGGATAGATCTTGTAGAGAATTCCCGCATACAGTAGCAAATAATGAAATTAATTGGTGAGCACGCTCTCGCACTGTGTTCTCCAAGCTTCCATAATCTTGAAACTGTTGGTTATCTTACACCGTCCAGTTGTTTAGGCCATAGGGCACATACCAATAAACAAGTAAACACCATTGCACCACTCAATCTTATGCCTGTCTATACCCCATCGAAGTATAGGACAGTTTCCTAGTTTCCAGAGTTCCACCCGGAGCTCCTGGAACAGCTACATGGCATAAATATCTTCTGCATGCAAGTCGAACGTAACGATTTCCAAGAAGCGACTATCTGACGCATCTGCTAGCAAGAGAAGGCCGTACTGACTGATGGTTCCCATAGAGTACCAACCGCCGGCTGGAACGGCACAGATACATTGTCCCCATCTCGCTTACTTTACCGACTCCACGTGGATAGGATATGCTGAATGGCCCTGTCTCTGTGTTTTTCACGTTGCACTGTCGAGTCACTGGTGCGTTCAGAACCGGGTGCTGATAATTTATTTGCACAGGTGTCGAAGGAAAATCCCATTCCTGGAGCTTCTCAGCCGGAAACAGATGTTTTAAGTGGGTTGGTAAACCTAGAGACCACGGCGCCCGCCTGTCAAGAAAGGGCCCCGTTTTTACTAGAGATGTCGTTAGCATTTCTTTCTCATAGTTGCAGAGTCCCGTTCAATCCATTTCCAGTTGACTTCCAAAAAAGAAAGCCGGTAAAGTATCTGTCCCCGGTTTTGTAATCCTCCTCGATCCAGCCTCCGCGGGATGCGATCAATCTCATATCAACATTACTATCCTTCATGACCTAATGGAAAATCGTATCCCACTGGTCCGTGAACTTCTCTCCATACTACGAGACACCGCTTGGTAAGTTGAGACGTATTCCAAAGAGTTTCGCCATAGAGTAGACACGGGCTGCGATTGATCATTCACGTCCATTCCGGGGTGGAAACTGAATTGCAGTATACTGACAACTGGGGTAGTTGGGGGCCAGTCAGTGTCTGCTATTGCATCGTATGGAAAGCCAGCGATAGACGGCTTCGTTTGACATGGATATGGACATGGCATTCTGTAGTGAGCCACTGGTCATTCAACTCGGCGCAATCCAACAAGCACACTGGCTATAATAGCATTTCAGCAACATAAATACATATTGACAGTCAGCAGAAAGATGATCAGCCATAGCAAACAGGGAGTCAGTCGCTAGCTGCAGCGCACCCGGACGGAGTACAATGAAGCAAGTCCTTTGAGACCTGCAGACCTAATACCGTGTTAGTGAATACACGCGTTTGTTTCATTATGAACTTTCTGACGAAGATATCGATATATCTTCCTTCCATGTATAAGAACAGTGGTGTACTCCGGAGTAGGGCCCCGACGTAGGCATCAGAACGGCACGTGACTCTCCCCCCCGACTTGCTGCGGAGTCGGACGGCGCCTTATATGGCTCAACGCAATGCCGCCGGTCAGGACGGACAACAACATTCATTATTACTTCTATATACTGAAGATCCGGATATAAGGGACAGTCGGACAGAACTTTGCTTTTCGCAGGACGTCAGAGTAGCTGCGACATCACGAAACCAGCCAGAACCCCTGTCATCGTCCTCGCTTTCTAGTTTACGTGAATCATGGCGGCCAACGGTGATAATGGCAGAGGTAAGATCTCTTTTCTTTTCGCATTTTTATGTTGTATCTGGGCTCATGCTAATATGGATTTCGGGCAATAGGAGGAAGCTTGGTCGATGCATCGGGATACAAGTTTGCGGACAAGGATACGAAACCCGGGAAGATTAAATTAAAGAAGCCGATCAAAAAATCCAAGAAAGATGGTGCGCTTCTCTATGTTTAATTCGCAATGACGGTCGAAGGATGATGTTGCTGATACCATGACTATAGATGCCCGACCCGCAACCTCACCCAAAGCATCCCCCATTCTCCCCGGTCTAAACGAGAAAACGATGGCAGCATTTCCGACAGGCAAACCGCGCGAAGAAGACCATATCGAATCAGTGATCTGCAAGACGTGCAAGCGGCCGATTTTGAAGCAGGCCGCAGTCGACCACATCCGCGGCTGTCTGAAGGCGAAACAAGAAAAGGCGCGCAAGAAGAAGGAGGCGCGCGATGCGGCGAACCGGGCGAAGGAGAAGATCGACGGGAAAGACGACGATGACGACAAGGATGGCGACGATGCGATGAAGGGACAGAAGAGTGCGAAGAAGAGTGCCGTGAAGGGCATGGCGGAGGATGGAACGAAGAAGGGGAAGAAGCGGAAGACGGACGAGGATGACAAGGACAAGGAGCCGAAGAAGAAGAAGAAAAAGGAGGAGCCGAAACCCAAGGTGCCCAAACCCAAGGGACCGGTCGATGTTGAGAAGCAGTGCGGTGTGACACTGCCGAATGGGGCTCAGTGTGCGCGGTCGTTGACTTGTAAGAGTCATTCGATGGGTGCGAAGCGTGGTGTTCCTGGTCGGTCGTTACCGTATGATATGTTGTTGCAGGCGTATCAGAAGAAGAATCAGGCTCGGCAGCAGAGTAAGTCATTTTCTTCTCTTTTCATGGGGCGCGTTTGGCTAATATGAATTACAGAGGCCGCTATCGATGCCAATGCTCCATTACAAGACGAGATGGAAAACAATGGCCCCGTGGACTCGGACGAAGAAAAAGACAACGTCATGGCCGCTATCGGCCGTTCCAACCCTCAGCCACTCGTTACCCATACGGTCATCACGACCAAGAACAAGTATCGCTATGTCCGCATCAAAGAGATGTTATCCCATGCCCTGGGCGGTGCCCGTGGTGGTGGACTCTTCTCCACTGGGGATAATCCCCCGGTAGAAGGGAACCTATTTCAACCAGACGACTCCAGTCTTCTGGACTCTCCCTTTGCCAACGGGGCTGCGGATAATACTACCGCTAATGATGCGGCAAATGATCAATCTTCAGCGGCGCCTGGGAATTCGATAACTGCAACTTCCTAGAAGTTGTCGGTTGCCGTCATTGGCGACTGGGGTCTTATGAGGTTACGCGTGACGATACGGCGTTCATTCATCTATTTCTTTTCTCACATGGGTCTGGGTCTTGGGTCATTGGGGTTGGCGTCTATATTGGCAATTTTGGATACATTTGATTGGGTCTATATTCATATGATACCCCTAAGATACTACTATATCTCTTGCGATTTGGTCTTCAATGTCTTGTTTTAGTATTGACATATTTGCACACACAATGTACTTTGATATCTGATACTCTAAATAACAGTTATCTCTACCAAATTGTCACTTATTGCTTGTGTGTAGCGTCGAAGGGTGGGCGCATTGTCCAAATAAGGAATGTATATGCCTCAGGCAGATGATCGACATTTGACGCCGCGGCATCGAACCATGAGTCCATCTCCATCTCCATCCGTTTTCACCCTCACCTCGCTGTCTACAACACACAGTCCGGTCAAGTATTCGCGCGCTTTTATCGTCCGACACCTCTTCTTTCGACTTCCGCCGTGAATTCGCGCCTACGGGCGACAGCCGTCCTGACTTGCCTCCAAACCTCCCACGTTCCTCGAATCGGAAAACAGTCGCCCTCTTTCGCTCTATTGCTCTTAATACCTCCATACAAACACAATGTCCAACTCCGTCCCCGACCTAGATGCCGTTGGCATCAAAGCCGAACCAGATCTAGCCGACCAGTTCCGCCGCGAAGTTGCCGCCCTCCTAGGTCGCAACAACCTAAACTTCCCGGGAGCGCAACCAGTCAGCTTCTCGACGAAACACCTCCTCGAACTCCAACGCGAAGACTACTACGTATGCGAAAAGACAGACGGGATCCGGTGTCTGATGTACTTTGCGCGTGGGGACCCGGACTCCGAGACGCCGGAGATTCACTACCTGATCGACCGCAAGAATGACTACCGATTCGTGCCGGGGCTGCATTTCCCTAGATCGGGGGATAAGAGCTTTCAGTCGTACCATGTGGATACACTTGTGGATGGGGAGTTGGTGAATGATACGTATGATGATGGGACGCAGCAACTCAAGTATCTCGTATTTGATTGTTTGGTGTTGGATGGGCAGGCTCTGATGCACCGTACGCTGGACAAGCGATTGGCGTATTTCAAGGAGAATGTCCTCAAGCCATACAGGGCGATGTATGAGAAGTTTCCAGAAGAGAAGCAGCACCGCGTTTTCGTCGTCGAGGACAAATCCACCCAGGTCAGCTACGGAATCGAGATGATGTTCCGCGATATTATCCCCAGGGTCAAGCGCATCCACGGCAACGACGGGTTAATCTTCACCTGTCGCAGCACGCCCTACCGCATTGGCACAGATGAGCATATCCTCAAATGGAAGCCGCCTGCTGAAAACACCATCGACTTCCGCATGCGCCTCGAGTTCCCTCTTCTCGAACCAGACTCGGACGATGAAGCGGATGGTATCATGCAGTCGTATCGTGATTACGACGCAATCCCTATCTTCCACCTCTTCGTCATGCACAGCTCGAACGATTATCGCCCCTTCGGTGAATTGTACGTGACCCCGGTTGAATGGGAGGACATGAAGGCCCTCGGGCAACCGCTCGATGATACGATTGTCGAATGCGCAAAGGATGAAGAAGGTCGCTGGCGCTTCCACCGTCTGCGTGATGATAAAATGGATGCGAATCACGTCTCTACTGTCCAGAAGGTCCTTGAGAGTATCGAGGATCGCGTGACGGAAGATGACCTCATTCGCGCTGCAGGCGCTATCAAGACTGCCTGGAAGAAACGCCAGGCTACACAGCATGCTCCTCCAGATGTGAGAGGGAGGCCTATTCCCCCAGCTGCGAATGGGGTTAAAAGGAAGCTGGAGGAATGATCTTTCTTTTACTTTCTTTTGGTGCATCTTTTCTTCGCGGCGTACGGCGTTTGTTACTAAATTCTGTACAATCTACAATGGTGGGATTGAATTGGACTAGCAGATGGGAAGCATTCTAAGGTGTCTGGTTTTTTGTTATAATCCTCGAAGCGTGATTAACCTCCACGCTGTTTATACATGGTTACTCAGGATTCCGACTCCTAAGTTCAAGAAGTAGTACTTCATTTGACCTCTTGGCCACCATAAACTAGAGTTGTATATAGGCAAAGCCAGTACCGTTCATAGCCTTCTAGCCGTGATGACGAGAGTACATATCTTCTTCACGCGTATAACATTGAGATCTCGACATCAGCGCTATTCAGCACCTGATACCCCAGGCCTAACCCCACAGCCCAACCAGTCTGTCCTGCAAGGAACCGAAAATCATTGACTAGGTCTCATCCACGTTATACTGCGGTGATTCTTGTGCTGCTACCGGCCTCCCACCAGAGGCCATGCCCTATGAAGTGTTAACAGAATTAAGAAGTTGAGGTTTTTTATTCTTTAACGCAAGTTCGACAGACGACGATGTCAATGACAAGCGTCAGTACTGTCCCAGGCCCAACCCTACCGCCCGACCAGACCTTCCTACGAAAAACACTGGCCAATGTCCCTCGTAGTCCAGAATGGTCAGTCAGCCGGGAACATTGACTAGGTCTCATCCATTTTACTGGTGATTCCTGTGCTGCTTACCAGCCTTCCGCCAAGGGCCTTAGAATGTATTATGAAGTGCATCTCACAGCATCTGATATCCCAGGCCCAACCCTACCGCCCAACCAGTCTTTCCTACAAGGAAAGTGTCCTCGCAGTCCAGCCTGGTCAGTTGACCGGAAAACATTAACTAGTTTTCAGCCACCAAATGTAGTGATTTCTGTGCTGCTTACCGGCCTCCCGCCAAGGGCCATACTAGGAAGTTGTGTTAGTAGTGTGTTCTGTGTGGTGGGGTGACTTACCGGTGGGGTGCTGGTACGTAGGTAGCAGCTGAGTCATTATATGAGGGATGGGAAAAGAGACAAGAGAAGTGCATTTTAGGAGCTATCTGCTAAGTAATGTCCAACAGATATCCTAAGCTCGTCTGGACCATCCGAGGCCGGGATAGCGATGGAAGACGAGGATGCTGGGGGAAACGAAGATGAGTAGAGAGTTGTAAGGAGAATGAGAGAGGAAGAAGAAAGAGAGTGGCGAATTTATAGCGAGGCAGAAGGCAGAAGGCAGAAGGTCGTGGGAGGCAGCAACTCATGTCAAGGCGACAAGCCATGAATGCCGGTTTACCCGGTTTACTATAGATTTACAAAGATAGGGACTGGTAATATTATCGTCTAAATTCCAAGTAGTTTGCAAGGCACTTCATTTTGGTATAGACCGCGCTGGAAGATGGAACATAAATAATACACGCCCGTGTGTATATGAATATCTACCGCTTCTTGATGCTAACATCGATGTTTCCAATGAACCATGCAGCAGCAAAAACAGCCAACAGACCGGCTGTGATGGTAAACGGCTTGCGCAGTCCATTCAACAGGGTGTAATCATAAGTGACCTACAGTCATTAGCACGGTACTCCAGTAAAAAGACGAAAATTATTCAAACTTACCACAAGCTGAGAACCACGAGCCTCGTCAGAGAGATTCTCCGCTTCCAGGGTCAACACCGTCCGGCCCAGCGTGTCCATGTAGGTCTTGTGGTCGGACAGGTGAGACCGAATCTGGTTGGGACCTGGAAGGCCATTGCTGGCAGATCCTTCCACCAACTCATATTTGACATTCCGAGATCCTTCAGGAAGAACCAAGCGGACAACAACATTCTCGTACTGGACGCCCTCGGAGGCCTTGGGACCCTCGATGAACGGCACCTTCAGGACATAAGAGTCCGCCCCAGTCACCGCGCGGCGCAGGAAAGAAGTCAGATCATTGTTCCAACCGATCCGGAAGCTGTAGTTCCAGCCACCAAAGATGGGGTACCGAAAACGAAGCTCCAGGTGCGCGTCGCGGTTAGGCTTTCCAGGACGGTACCGACTCGTAGAAACGTTGCCGACATCATCGATGAAGTAGGGATCGACCGAACCGGCCTTGAGCGGGTACTTGAGCTCGCGCAATGCAGAAGAGGGCAAATTCTGGTAGCTGCTAATGGTCCACTCCACACGCGAAAACTGGCTCGTCAATTCGGAGCCATTGTTGCGCAGCCAGTATCGTTCCTCAGTTGCCAGGTTACCACCCCAATGGGACACTTCCAGGTCACGTTCCAACAGAGAAGCCGTGATAACAGGGTTGGTGAACTCGTAGCGAACGGTGATCGGGTAGGTCGTTCCCGGTGCGACCTTCGAAGTGTCGTAGGGACCGTATGTGAATGTCGCGCCCTGGCGTTCGGGGTCAGAGCCCGAGCTAGTCTTCAGACCCTCAGTGACAGTAAAGTCAGGAACCTTCGTACTTGGGAACTTCAGCTTTGTCTTCTGGGTAACGGTAGGGTAGGCCGAAATGGTAAAGCCGGAGAAGGAGTAGGAGAGGAATTGACGGTCAGACTGTTCGATGGTGGCCGGACGTGGGTTAAGGGAATTAAGAAGGGTGTACGAGATCCCCAGAGTGATTTGCGACTTGGGGGCGAGAGGTTCCGGGAAATGAATGACAAAGTATTCGAGGTCACTGCCATAAAGAAGAGGCCATCATCAGCTTCCATAGTCCAAACAACCAAGCTTGTGTAGCTCCAATCAAGCAACCGTGGCATCGCCATCAACATCACCCATTGGCACCAATGCAGGCATACTCACCTGCGGAAATCAAGCTCGACAGCTTCCACATCGAATCTTCCCTTCTCTGCTGCCTTCTTGTCTCTCACTTCCAGACTTCCAACCTTGTCAAACACGTCCGATGGGAACGGCAAGTAGTAATCGCTCTGCGGCTGCTTGTCCACGTTCTCCACGACCACATTGACGGTCTCCCGAACATAACCCTTTTCCAAATTCGTGTGCCGGACCAGATTCGTATTCTTAAACACTTGCGGGGGATTGAATTCGCTGATCGCAGCGACTCGCTCGTCGGCGCATACTACGCTGCTGGGCAGGAGTAGCCCGCAGAGCGTAGTGACTGCGGTAAAAAGCCTCATTGCAACGATGGGCGGTCCTCAATCAGACCGTCCAGAATCTCACCAAGGGAGAATAAGATAAGTTGGAGGAGAGTTGATTGAGTGATGGGAGTGGGCAGAAGAGCTGCTGAGGTGTCTGTATCCCAATACGGTAATTACACCATGGAGCTGTACGGTGGCCGCAGCGGCCAAATGCGCTGCGCTTATCGCCGATTGATATCAATACCACTTTTCCACCACCAGTCTTGTTTCCTTTGCTTCTCGGTTTATTTTGTTAGTTTAAGGAGAGCTTAGGTGCCTTCTTGTCATTCCTACGATGCTGGTGACACGAGCTGCTGCCCGTCTTTGCGGCAGGACAACCAGAATATCGGCCGCAAGAGCCCCTCGTCCCACTCGATGCTATCATGATCTCGGCCAGAGCAAGTTCTTGAAGGTGTCAGAAGAGATTCGTGATGCTGTAGCTACAGGGAAGCCCGTTGTGGCATTGGAATCTACGATTTACACTCATGGTATGTATATCTGAGAGGATAATGTTTCCGAAGGTAGCGAACCTCGGCTGAGCAAGATTCCAGGATTCCCGTATCCCGAAAGCGTTGCTCTTGCATCACTGCTTGAGTCTGTCGTTCGAGTCAATGGCGGTGTCCCTGCTACCATTGGTATTCTCAATGGTGTGGCACGGGTTGGTCTGGACGCCGAGGAACTCATTGAGTTGGCGTCGACCGCTGAGAAAAAGAATGCACTCAAGGTGTCTCGTAGAGACCTTGGTTACATTTGCGGCCTGGTATAGGGGACTCTAACCTAAACATCATATGTATAAAGACTAATCTTCGACAGGGTTTGGCCGGCAAGCCGCTTCATGGCGGTACAACCGTTTCAGGCACAATGATGCTTGCGCACATGGCTGGAATCAAAGTGTTTGGAACTGGTGGATTAGGTATGATCTCGACTTGTACGTCTCATTTTGGTAACTAAACTAACTTGATAAGGTGGCGTTCACCGGGGTGGAGAAAACTCTATGGATATTTCGGGTGTGTATCACGGTATAGATTCTATGCCCAGCGTTGCTAATCGAACCCAGCGGATCTCACTGAACTGGGTCGTACCCCAGTGGCTGTCATTAGCTCAGGATGCAAGAGCTTCCTGGATATCCCTCGAACTCTGGAATACCTTGAGACCGAAGGAGTTTGTGTCGGGACTTTCGCGGATGGCAGACAGGGCTCCGTGGATTTCCCTGCTTTCTTCACGAGGGACAGCGGAATCAAGAGCCCCAAGGTCATTCAAAACGAAGCGGAAGCTGCTGCCATTATCTGTACGTTCTTTATGATTCTACGTCGACCCATTGAAGTTTCTCACATCTCTAACACCACCCAGATGCACAAAGCAAGCTCGCTGTCTCATCAGGCATCCATTTCGCCAACCCGGTGCCGCTTGAACAATCGATTCCGAAAGAGGATATGGATGCAATTATTGAAGAGGCGCTCCATCTGGCGCAAGTGGAAGGCTTCCAAGGCAGCGATAACACACCCTTTGTACTAGCTAAGATCAAAGAGCTGAGCGGCGGAAAGAGTGTGGTCGCCAACCGGACACTGGTCGAGGCAAACGTGGAGCGAGCAGCCAAGGTAGCCGTGGAGCTTTCAAAACTGGAGCAGTCGGACAAAGGGCAGAGTGATCGGTGAGTGCATTGTCGAGAAACAGGCTCGTATTGTCCCTAATTTCGGAGATTGTCTCATGTATAGACACATGCCAGCAATCCCCGAGACGGTTAAAGCTGACCACACAGCTTCAGAAGTTAAGTCGAATTTGAAACCAGCCACTGAAGGCGCTCCCAGAAAAGTAGAAAAAGCGGAGGTCCTGGTTGCTGGCTCTCTTGCGATTGACCTTTCCTGTGATTATTCCCCGCTTGTGGGAGAGAGCACTACGACTACCACGCCTGTCCCACAAACATCGAACCCAGCCGTCATCGGACAGAGTCTCGGTGGAGTAGGTCACAATGTTGCCATTGCTGCTAGTCGTGTAGGCAGTTCTGTCCTCTTCTGCAGCGTTGTGGGTGATGACTTGAGTGGTCGTGCAGCCTTGTCCGCGCTTCAAGCTGAGAACCTCGCAACCGAAGGGGTCCAAATGCTTTCAGCTTCGTCGGGAAGGACAGCACAATATGTCGCTATCAATGACACACAAAAGGACCTTGTTGTGGCAATGGCAGATATGGGGATAATGGAACTGCCTGAGGACAAGCTTGATTTTGAGGGATTCTGGGAGCCAATCATCAGCCGCACAAAGCCCCGATGGGTTGTAGCCGATGCAAATTGGAGCCCGGCTGTGCTAGCCAAGTGGATTGCAGTGGCTACGAAACATGGTGCCCGCGTTGCTTTTGAGCCCGTCTCTACAGCAAAAAGTCGCAGACTGCTTGCCGCCATTCGCGACTCCGATGCTGTTCCCAACAACTCTGTCAGCCTAGCAGCACCAAATCAACTAGAGCTCTCAACTATGTACATGGCAGCACGTGAGCGCGGTTTACTAGAGTCAGACAACTGGTTCAACGTAATCGACGCCATGGGAATCCCATCCTCGGGTGCCCGCGATCGACTAGTCTTCATGACATCTGCCGACCTCGTCGACCAAGGCATTCCACAACAATCTATCCAGCTCCTCCCATTCATCCCCTGTATCATCACAAAGCTAGGCGCGCAGGGCGTCCTTCTCACCCAACTTCTTCGTGCGGGTGATCCCCGATTGACATCCCCCGAGGCTTCGCCGTACATCTTATCCCGTGGCATCGGATCTGATCTTGTTGGTGGTTTGTATATGCGTCATTTCACGCCGGCTGCGGTCCTGGAGCAGGGGGATATTGTGAGCGTGAACGGGGCGGGGGATACGTTGCTGGGTGTTATTGTTGCTGGGCTGGCGAAGGGTGCTACAGATAGACAGGTTGAGAATGTTTTGCCTATTGCGCAGGAGGCTAGTTTGAGGACGTTGAAGAGTGCCGGTGGGGTGAGTGATGATCTCGGGGGTCTGGGCCTGTGAGTACTACAAGGTGTACTTGTATAGATTTTGCATAAAAGCGTACGCATAATATGTCAAAAGAGAATATTCATTCAACATCTACTATATATGGGGACTTGCTACATATGCCAATTGATACTGGAAAGTGAATGGTCTGCCACGCTTCCTTGGTTACTTGGCTCAGAGTTGTCGAGCTATATCAGCGTCCCAATAGGTATGCAGTTACGAAGGCGTCCCTGGCTTTCCATTCACTCCCTTTCTTCTTGCCTCCAAGGCAAGAATATGGCTGTTGAACCTGGCTTGGTCACCATAGCATGCATTCCAACTCCACATTTCGAGAAAAGCTACATCGGCTGGAACAATCCACCAGTCTATGAGAACCCCTTATCTTAGTCTCCGGGTGACTATAGACCATATGTGAGAGATTCGGCACTGGTAAATACAACCCTCTCGAGACAATTCGTCGCGTTGCAACAGTCCAAGCAGGCTCCTCTTCTCCGGTACGAGGACTCACGTGCTAACGGCCCAGAATAAAACTGACAACATATATGAAATAGATTACTCGACGATATCGCTTCGCGTGCTCGTACTCGCCAATGCTTACTGAGAATTTGGTGAAGCAAAAGAGTCTGTCCCCAGGATAACCTGGATGAGATGTTTGCAAAGCACCCAAAGGTAGTGCTAATGTTTCTGGAACTGATTTTATAGGACTCACGCAGATTTTGTCCAAAAGGGGAAGAACGGAACTATGACGACAGTTCTTGCCAGCACATCCAGACGTGGCGTTATGTTTCTGGCGGTACCAGACGAGCAAGAGAATCATCACATCCTCAATGTGAATTGAACTGCTATGTCTGGCATGGGTATACCGGAGGACCACCGGAATAGAGTGTCAAGATTCAAGACCTTCAAAAGATTGTACACCTATCAGACATCCTGGTTTGCAAGAAAGGTGCATCTGCCTTGTTGGCGTTGATTGTAATTGAGAAACTTTTCAAGAGACAGAATTTTTCTATTCATGTATCTATATTCTGAACAAGCGTTAACATAGAAATCCCATCTCATTCCCATACTCAAAGAGAATGAGACAAAATCAAGCACTCAAAACCCCCTCCGCCTCCTCCCTCCCGCAAACTGGCAACTTCTCAACCTTCTGGTTCCCACTCCTCGTCTCCCCCTTCACCTCAAAACCCCCAGGTACCAACCCCGGATCCAACAACCCAACCTGCACAAGCACACTAGCTTGGTCCCAATAGACCTGCTGACGAACCAGTTTCCCGGCGCAGAAATTCCCCGTTAGCACGAGAGGGATCTGCACCTTGTGGTTTGTTGGCGGGACGTTTGGAAGAAGCCAGGGGACTTCCTCGGTGTGGTCGAAGGAGAGGAGGACTTCATCGACGACACGGTCTGGGCCGGTGGTGCGGGAGATGAGGCGGAGGTGTTGGGAGGATGGACCGGAGGGAAAGAAGGTGTTTTTGTGGAAGGTTCTGAGGGCAGATGGGTTGGTTCGTTTTGCTTTTGGTTGTTAGATATAGATGTATCAGTATTGTTGGCGGGATCAGACATACCGCCAATCAAAGTCGGGACGCAGTTCACAGTCGGTCCCTCCGTATGTTTGTAGTAATAGTGGCTTTCAGGTGCCTCGATGCCATTCTCTCCTCCCACTATTACCTCCATGGTGTCGCGAGTAGGGGCGCCGATTTGCGTCATGCTGTGCCAATGCTTCGCCCATGTCGTCTCGATATCAGAGACTGTCCAGTTTGGCCCGGGTGCAAAGCTCCTCTTTATGCAGTCCAGTGTCCGGCTCCAGGCAAGCTGCGCATCAATCCGGTCATAGTTCAGTTCCGACTGCTCCGCGAATCCGACATGCGACTCTGGGTAAGAGAAGACATGGCATCGATGGCGCTTTTTGTCTGGATTGGCTGTGTAGCTCTCGTAAAGAGTTGGGGTCTGTTCATCTGCTAGGTGGATCTGGAGAGGGAGCAGAGAATGAGGGGAGTAGGTCGAGACGCCATCAAGTGCACCTGAGGGAGGCTCGCATGGGAACAAGTACTCCTGGAACTGGGGATCATGGGAATCAAAGGGTGGTTCGGGGTAGTAGGCGACTAGAGCGCAGAGTCGAGGGAGTGGATTGGTATTTGTGGTAGACTGGTGATGAGCTGCCAAAAGCAGATAGGCAGGTTTTCTGTACGCTGCTGGAATTTAGCTTCTTCCTCTCGTACTTCCTCTTTCCTTATATAGACCTACCAACTACCGCATATCTCTCTCCAGGCTCTAGATCATCCTCGAGCTCATTCAACTGGTTTTCGAGATCCTTCCGGGCCCGTTCCAGATCATGACCCCCACCAAGGAATGGCAGGTACTTGACCTTCAATCCCTCAGCCTCGAATTGCCGGATAATAGTCTGGTCAAAGTCCGGAGTGTCGGAGGTCAATATGAGCCGACGAGGAGCTTCATCCTTCTTGCTCCGATCGCTTGTCGAACGCGAACGGGACCGTGGTACATTGGTATTGCTACTGCGGCGACGACGGGCAAAATTAACGAGGCGTTCCATTGTTCTGTGTCTATTAAAATCCGGATAGTCCGATAGTATCGAACGGGGCCAAAAGGAACAGCCGTCGCTTTAAGTAACCCGGAGGGAACCACGGTGCCTGCGCATCTGACTCCTGGCCATGCTCTATGACATATGTTAAGGCTCGACAAGAAGCTCGTCCCTTGGCGCAAAGGCAGATTGGTAGTGACGTCGATGATTATTGGCGCGGCGGGCGTTGACGAGAAGCTCCGTGGGGTTCCGATTTCATGGCGCCAAGTCGTAGGGCCGAAACAGACCCTGTAGTGGGAACGGACAAGAAGTGTGAAGAGCGAGTGAACAAGTGTTGTGAGAAGCTGAAAACAGCTTCAAGCAGGAAGTGGAAGCAGGTCAAGAGATGCCAAGATTTATCCTATGTATTAAATGCACAAAATGCTCCAAAGCGGATTATGCACACAAAACAGACAAAAATTTCAAGAAACCACCAAATGTCAACTCGAGCATTCTTTTTTGTCTATCCCACCGCTGCCCCTTCCTTGCGCATGTCTCTCATGGCCAGTAAATATGTATGTATGTGATCATCATTATTATAATCATAATCCGGACGTCCGGGCAGGTGCCTGCTGATTCCCGTTAAACGTCGTCAACCATTGCCGATGCGCCTTGACGTATTCGGTATCATTATCGCCCTCTCTGTCTTCCTCCAGATATCGCGCATATGTATCTCGTTGCAGACTCTTCCGTGCCACTTCACAGTCCACCCGAATATCTTCCACCAAAGCCCCAAGCGAAACGTAGTCGTATTCCGGTCGGATGTAACCCAGAATCAGCAGGTTCAGCGGTGTCGAGTAGAAGTCCGGCAGTTTGTGGAATTTCACTTGTTCGTTGCTCGCGGCGGTCGGGGAGGGTGCTGCGAGGGGCGGCATGATGTGGATTTCCTAGCCGGATCAGTAACGCGTACACAACGTCAATTGCAACAGAGACAACGGCGTACAATCGAGCGTTCCTTGTTCTTGTAGAACGGGTTATATCCAATACTCAACACCGCGGGGAGAATCTTCCCGCAAGTTCCCTGAGGCGACGATGATGATGTCTCCGTATAATTAAACCGACTAGGATCTAACGCAACCACGCCATAATATACACCTATGTCCAAATCCGGATGCTCCGCGAGCATGTCTGCCGAGATATTGGCCGTAGGAATACCCAGCTAAAGCCCATATTAGCCTTCCGCTTCCTGTATTCGAGGGTGCTCGCCGACAGATAACACAAGTTAACCCACCTCTTTACTCCCCCGCCCGAAACCTTTGATGACAGGACCCGACAATCGCACAGGAAACGGGGGCTCAGGACCCGAATCGGGGCCGGTGACGGGGTCGCGAGGTCCATCTGGTCGCATTGTGCCTGTGTCTCGTCGTGTTTGTGTCTGGGTATGTGTCTGCCCGCTATGGTCCTGCTCACAACGGTCTGAGATGCGTGGAAAGCGGAAGAAAGTGGTCTGGGAGTTATCGATAAGCTGGTGCGGGGAGTCAAGTCCGCCGTGCCCGCTGATTGGCTGTGTGATGTAATTTAACTGTATTTTACGCCAGATGCGGCTACTGGTCACCTGACCGGCTCGGCTACACGTGATTAGCCGAGGGTCAGATAACACTCGACATCGTGGGGACTTATGAGCAATTAATCTATTCACTTTCGGACTATCTAATCACCTTTCTTTACGTACAGGGAGTATATTTCATGACTCCAGAGATAGAGGGACCTCCGACAGAGGAAGCTCAGCAGCATCGTACTGCTTTGCGGCGTCAACAAACAACTGCCTTTCTGCCTCGGCGTATGGAATCCCTTCTCTGCGGCGCTGAGCACCAAGGCGATGCTCTGGCTCTCCAGGGAAAAGCACTTCATTGAAGCCAGGAGCCGGAGTTACGCCATGAATGCGCTGGGCCAAAACGTCCATACGAGTTCTGAATTCATCAGTCGTCATGAAGATGTCCGGCTTGATGGCAATGAAGCAATGTCCAGCGTTCTGGGGCCTGGGATCCTTGTACTGATCCCCGACTTCGCCACCAAAAGCAGCGCCAGTCAAAACACCTGACATGACGTCCATCAGAATGGCAATCCCGGAACCCTTGGGACCACCGATAGGCGCCATGCTACCGTTCAGAGCCACATTTGCGTCGGTGGTAGGGTTTCCGTCAGCGTCAAGTGCCCATCCAACAGGGATTGACTCGCCATGACGGGCTGCGCGGCGAATCTTACCCTTAGCAACAACCGATGGTGCCATGTCGAGAATATAGGGGACTTTGTTGTTGGAAGGAGCGCCAGCAGCGAAAGGCGAGATACCAAGGAGAGTCTCCTTGCCCCCAAATGGGGGCATTTGCTTGGCTGAGTTGGTAAAGACCAGGGAGATCATGTTCTTCTCCAGGGCTTGGAGGACGTAGGTAGCGCCCATACCGAAGTGGTTGGAATGGTTGACGGTAACCATGCCGATGCCGTAGATCTCTGCGCGCTTGATGGCTGATTCCATTGCTCTGGTGGCAACCACGAAGCCGAAACCACTGTCGCCATCAAGGTGGGCAACCACTGGGGTCTTCTCGATAAGCTTGAAGTTTGGCTTCGCGTTGACCCGGTCGTTGCTGACCCTGTCAAGGTATTGGGGTAGGCGTGCCAGACCGTGGGTGTCCTATCATATGTTAGACAGAATCATGTAGGGATGATGTGATCAACACTCACAACACCGCGAACATCGGCCAAAACCAAGCAGTCCGCCATTGACTTGGCGTCTTCCTCGGAGAGGCGAGCCTTCACCAGCAGCTCTGTAGCATATTTGGTTGCCGTCGCGGGGTCAGCATAGTAACTGGCCTTGTAGTTTATCAGTTCCTGTGGGAACAGTATCTTAGTTGTATACATTAGGACTCACGGAAGAAGTCATGGTGAGAATCGTTTCCTTCACTTGGTCAATGTGACAATTGTTGGCGTCAAATTCGTCTAGTAAATCAATTCCATCGAAAGCAATGTAGCCGTATATTTAATTTTTATCACTATATTCCATAACTACAGTCGAAACAATGCAAGTCATAGGACATTCGGTAAAACACCGTTTCGGGCCGGTACCGATGCAGTCCTACCATCATTCGGATCGCTCCGGTCATTCGGACCACTCCGTCGGACATTCGACCGATAACCGGCATCGGCATATAATTAGCATAAACATCGAACCTCATATGCGGGGGTTACTTTCATCTCTTCTGCTACTTTCCACGCAATCACAATCTATCATGCTTGCCACCTGTAACACGCTACATCGAGCGTACCTATGGCCGTCGAGCCAATGGGCTTTTCCTCGGGCCCTTGGGCGCATGTACAGTCAGTCTAGCCGTGCGCCTACAGTGGCTGTTTTGTTCCAAGATACTGATCCCCCAATCATCAATGGGGTACGCAAGCCTCGTAAACCTGGCGGTAAGTAGCCATTATACTAGTTATCGTTTTTCATAGGCTTACAGGGTCATAGGCTATCAAGACTCCGGAGCTGATATCGTCTATACACTCCAGTCAAAAGGCATCAATATCGTCACACCAGACTCCTCGCCACAGGTCTCCAAAAATGAAGGCTGGTGCTTCCCCGATACAGAAGAGGGCATCTATTCCGCCGTGAAAAGCGGCGCTACCCATCTCTGGGCCAACACCATCCTCTTCGATTCCCATCCACTCCAGAAATCTGAGAAATTAGCTCCTTACGCCTCGGATCTGCGCGTCGTGGGCCAGCCACCCAGCATGGTGGAGAATTTCGACGACAAAGCGTATCTCAACGGTAAATTGGGAGAACTCGGTGGCTACACCCTCCCACGTTCATGGCTTCTCTCGAAATCTGATGATCTTGAGGCGCTGGTTAAATCTATTGACCGGTTTCCCGTGGTTGGTAAGCCTGTTCGTGGGCGTGGAAGCCATGGCGTCAAACTCTGCCATGATCAGGATCAATTGAGGGAGCATATCACGGCGTTGCTGGGGGAGTCACCGCTGGTCATGCTTGAGGAATATCTTGCTGGTGAGGAAGCTACTATCACTGTTATGCCACCCTCTCCTGAGCGACCGGAACATTGGAGTACATTGCCAGTTTCGCGATTCAATCATGCAGACGGCATCGCTCCATACAATGGTGTGGTGGCGGTGACTGCAAACTCACGCGTGATCACAAAGGAGGATATGAAGGATCCTGCGTATGGGAAGGTTATGAAGGAATGCGAGCGAGTTGTTAAACTCATCGGTGCAACTGCGCCGATTCGGATTGATGTACGACGATTCCACGAGGGTTCCGGGTTTGCAATTTTTGATATCAACATGAAGCCAGTAAGTGCGCCCCTTCTGGTTATGTGGGGGAGACATATCACTAATAATCACATCAGAACATGACAGGCCCCGGTCGTCCAGGACGAGAGGACCAGGCGAGTTTGACTGTAATGGCAACGGCCGCGATGGGCTGGGATTATGGCACTCTTTTGCAGAAGATCCTTGCCAATGCTCAACTTCTGAGCACATTCCGTGTTTACCGTAGTCCGTTCTAGACTTGGATTTTTTTTTTTTTTTTCATGTATAATAAGTGTTGATATCCTTTGTTAAGTGTATATATATCAGTAGCCTGCGTTGATGTACACACTTTTTATTCTCTTTTCAATATGGCAAGGGGTCAAGGGGTCAAGGGGTCAATTAAAATTCTCATCGTAATAAGCTTCTATTCTCTAAACTACTTCGCGCCGTTGATACCCTCCAGAGGCAGGAAATTCCACATACATTCGTCCTCCGGCGCAACTTCAAAGTCAAACCGCACCAAATCCTCTTTGTAAGGAAACATATACGTGCTCGTCACCCTATAGAAAAGATCTCAATTAGAGCTACTCAATCCAAGTACACAAGTTTCCCGAGAGTTCCCGAGATTGCCAATACAGCAAGAAGGGTTCTTCACATACCAATAATGTTCCTTACTAGCTTGATACTTCCCCAGCTCTTCAAGGTTCTCATGGAAGCTCAGCAGGGCGAATTCGAATGCTTTACTTCTCTCGATTGGATCGGTGACAGACGGTCCACCGACGATGAGACGGTGTCCCTTGACGCAGTCGAGCTCCTTGAGCTTCTTGAGCTCGCGGACGAATTTTTGTCTTTGTGCTCTTGGGTCACCTCGGGGCGGAACTTGAACATCACTGTTGCGTATCAGTTCGAACTCAAGGGTGGTATGATTAGGGAAAACTGACCTATGTAGATGATTGTCAACTAGGAAAGCGCACAAAGCAAAGTGCCGAAGTAGCCAGCTGTAGATCAGGATGGACAAAAGATCAAGGAAAGAGCCAATTATTTGCAAGCGTTACTTGATTCTGTGTATACCTGAGGCGCTACCTATATACCCACCCAAAATATCCTCCCAAACCCTAGAAACGGCGAATTGCCGTTGTACTCTCGGCCCCGGGCCGAGCCTTTCGGAGCTGTTCTCCCCCCTGCACATCAACAAGACGAAACAGACGGTCTGTAGATTGCTACGGAGAAAGTACATGGGGATCAGTTGAGTACTGGTCATCGTAAGTGCGTATTCCCCCGCATTCTTTTGCGCTTTCCACTCGATCAGCACATCCCAGACACATGCAAACAAGTAGGATGGGAAGAGAGAGGGAAACGGGATGATTTGGCTATATAAAGAGGGCATTTTCCTGCTCTCCTTTTGTGGGATGTCTGCATCGCTTACTCTGTCGGTTTTTATATCCATCTTCTGTATTTGCTCTCATTATGGCTGACACTATGAATCCTGTGGAGGATGTCGACGTAAAGGAAACATCCTCTGATGACAATCGTCTGGCTGTCGCCCAACACATGAGCACAGAAGAGTTTCGCGAGGCTGAGAAGAAGCTAAAGCGTAAGCTTGATGTGCGACTACTGGCCTGTATGTGGCTCATTTTTATACTGAACTATCTTGACCGGGTATGCTCCCTCATTTATTTAATTACATGATATTGTCCGCGGCTAATATATTTGCAGAACAACATTGCAACCGCAAAAGTTGCCGGATTATCAGACTCGCTGGATCTAACAAGCACACAATATTCCACCGCCGTCGCCATTCTCTTTGTTGGCTATGTGTTGATGCAACTTCCGTCCAATATCTTTCTTGCCAACCTAAGGCCATCGTGGTATATCCCTGGTGTTATGGCAGTCTGGGGCATGCTTTCGGCCCTGGTTGGTGCAGTTCACAATGCCGGGGGACTTTATGCACTTCGGTTTTTGCTAGGATTTTTGGAAGCTGCCTTTTACCGTGAGTCATTTTTATCGGTATTATACCCGGAAAATACACATGGCTAATACATGCCGTCGCAGCTGGTGCATTGTTTCTAATATCCTCCTGGTACAAGCGGGAGGAGATGGGTGTTCGCAGCGCAGCCGAACGCAAGCGCTCAGCCGCAATCCTCCAGCTCTTCCCTTGGACATTACATTTTCAAGGTCCAGAGTTTGTCCGCTACGTAGTGCGAGCCGCACACATCGCCAGTGTCCCAGTAGCGGTCCACTTGGACCACTGCATCAAGCCGGAGGATGTCGAATTGGCCCTTACCCTCCCCTTTGATTCTATTATGATTGATGCTTCGACCTTGGATGACGAAGCAAACATTCGACACAGCAAAGCTGTTGTGGATTGTGCGCGGGCATTCAATATCACCATCGAGGCTGAGATGGGTCGCATTGAGGGTGGGGAGGATGAGTTGCCTACTGTTGATATGGAATCCGTCATGACAAGACCCGAAGATGCAGAGAGGTTTGTCCAACAAACTGGGGTGCACTTTCTTGCGCCGTCTTTTGGGAATATCCATGGTGGGTATCCGGCCGGTGGGGCAGAGGAAGCATGGGATCTTTCACGGTATGCGTTTACTACCATTCTCAATGTTTTGCAAAAAACAACTAATCTGCGGTAGACTTGCGGCCATTGGAAAGTCGGTCTCGGAAATCACACCGCTGGCCCCCCATGGAACGCATCCTGTGTCAGATGAGCTTTTTCAGAAGACTATTAGATGCGGAGTGCGCAAGATCAATCTCAATCGCACTGTGCGCGATGACTACACGAAGTTCGTCGCTGAAAATGCCGGCTCACAGGAGTTGACAACTCTTAAAGTGCAGGGCGTGGAGATTTATGCTAAGTCTATAGAGAGGATGATGGATGTACTTGGCTCGTCTGGGCAGTATTAGTTTCTAGTTCAAAGTACTTCTTCGGAATTCAAAATAAAGTCTTGGCCGTCGAGACCAACCCTGATCCTTATCAGATGCACCCAACCAATAGTAAACAGAATCGGCAAAATACCGGACAGCTCCGGACCCATATCGAATGTATCCGAGCAGGAACACTCCGAAGTAGATTTACGACGGTCTTTTACTGTTCCCCCATCCATTAACCAAACCGTTGACTCACACCATACGCAGGGAGTGCAGAAAGCTCTGTTCAATTGTACAAATGATTCTTTCGCCGATTCTTAGCGGGCGAGATCTTGGTCTTGAGATGGCAGGTCCTCTTCCCATTCCCGCCGCGACGAGTCCGCCGGCTCGGCGCCGTCCGCTGGCTTGTTCCCGGTGCCGTCGGCGTAAAGTCCGCTGCGACGGGGCTTCGCCTGCTTGTTCGAATTGTGCTAGAGCTGAGGTGGAATGCTTTGAGGGGGTTTCGGGGACGGCGATATCCCGGAGGTATGACATACATGCACTTCGTACTATTACTGCACATAATCGGGCACTGTTTTGATTGAAATGGTACTGATATGCTGTCTGTTGGTTCAAAAGTCGCCTTTATTATCTGGAGAACCGTGTGAGGGAACTAGAAGCTGCCAGTGGAGTCATTGCGCTGTCGGCCACTCGCCCGAATGTGTCTGATAATGGAGACACCAGCAACATTGATCCGAGGCTCTCAGGATTTGTGGAAGCCCCACGAGTTGACCCCTTGCCTAATCATCAGCATCAATATAGCCAGAGCAGCCAATTCGGATATCCAGGGGATGGACTAGGATCGGAGCATCGTCAGCAAGCATCTCGCTCATCGCGTGAAGAAATCCCTCGACCAGGAAGCACAGTTCGAACCCTCAATCCGGGGCAGAGTCCAAGAGCAGAAAGCAATCCCATTGAAGATGGTGCTTCTCCGGCCATTTCAACTTCCAGTCGGATTACGCGAGATCAGCCACTCGCTCACGAAGTGGGCTTGCTTTCCTTGTCGAATGCAAGTGATCCCAAGTATCTGGGCCTGTCATCAGGAGTCCCGTTTGCGCGATTGATATACGAATCAGTACCCCAGTCGCAAGGATTGTCACTGGCATATTTGCGAGAGGATGAACAAGACCAACGGCAGGGTGATGCGGCTCAGGGTCTGGGCCTAAGTGCACATGACATCCAACAGCTTGGCTTGCCTTCAATGTCCGGCTGCCAGCAGTATGCAGAAATATATTTCAGCGTCTCGACATTCTACCCCTTCATCTCGCAGGATGATCTCCATACCCTCCTCAAGCAGGTGATGCATCTCGACACTAGGTCGACTTGGAACAGCATTATCCCCGTGAAGCTGGCCCTTGCGCAGATTTATTTGGTGCTTTCTCTGGGTGCGCGATTTTTAGAAATTAAGCTTAACAGCAAGTTCCCCTCACATGACTTGTTTACCAAAGGCATGGGGTATGCGACACAGATCAAGCTCCATGATAGCATCGAAGGTGTGCAAGTTCTTTTGCTGTTGGCACAGCATAGCTTTTATAGTCCGGAGGGGTTAAATGCGTGGTTTCTGTTGCATACCATTATTGCCAGCTGCTTGGATCTTGGGTTGCAGCGGCGTGATAACTGTTAGTGTCATTCCTCAAGAGCAAGTCGTGGCAGCGGTTAAACTAACTTGTGAAGGCAAAAAAGAGACCGAACCCCCATGCCATCGCAAAACACGCCACCTGCGAAGCGCTATCTTCTGGTCAGCATATTCCATGGATCGCACCCTCACCACCATCTTAGGCCGTCCTCTCACGCTGAGAGACGAAGCCATCGATCGGGAATTCCCGGGGCTAGATAATAACGATGAGGTCGAATCGGCAGCAACCCAGTGGGATCAGACTACCTCACAAGACCAAGCGGTTGAACAGCAACCGCCAGGGTTGGCTCCAACCCCCTACACAGCATGCGTTTACTCTCTCCGCTTCGACCGGATCGTCGCAGAAATCAAGCTGATGCTGTACCGTGTCTCGCGATCACCCAGTCGCTTTCCATGGCCGACAAATGTAACTGCTTGGCAACGTGAAGCCCATAATGTCTGCGTCTCGCTGCTTCAGGAAGCTCGGAATCAGCAGCAAAGCTCTCTTTTGAACAGCTTCGGTACGTTGTCTGGAGTGACCATGCAACGGTTGGAACTCAAATACCACCACTGCATCATGCTCCTCTATCGTCCAAGCCCGCAAATCCCGCATCCAAGCACAGAAGCTATTCAGGCATGCTTTAGCAGCGCGATGGATATCATCTCCATCTACGCAGACCTCCACAGATTCCTAAACATGGAATGCTCATGGCTCTCGGCGCATTCGATCCTGGTAGCTGCCATCACAGTCCTTTACTGCTTATGCTCGCACCCAGCCATACGAGGAATAACACCCGTCGAAACCTGTTTGAAAAGGACAGAACTAGCCCATGAGCTGCTATCGTTCCTAGGACGGTCATGGTCTGTTGCGGATGAGGCAGGACTGAAGCTGGGTAGGTTGATCACGGCTACGAGTGAGGTTTATAGCGCAAATGCCACTGTAGGCGGTAGCCTTGCTGATCGCCAAGAGTATGAGAATGGCGGCAATATGGTGCCGTTGCAGCAGTCGAGTTCAGGCTCAGATAACCCGGATATGCCTGCTCTGGATGGAAGGGCTTTCTTGACTGATGAGCTCGGGGTTCTTCGAGACTTGTTTGATCTTGGGTGGTTGGATGAATCGGAGTTTGGTAATCAGCCCTCTTTCTTTGGGTCTTGATTAAATCTGTTGAGACATGGAATGTCATTCTAGACGATATCCTGGAGAATATATATAATCAGAATTTTGCAAAAATGTTCTGAGAGGGGAGTTGTCGAAGTTGTCTTCAAAGGACTGCGTCTTATCTGACGAATATATAGCCAATCTGACATACGTACTTGATTTTCTGGACAGGCCGAAGGCTTTCCCTTTCCATTTTAGTGCTCAGCCCTCGCCGCTTTTTGCTCACTGTGTAGACCTGAGCAAGCCCTGAGCAGCCTGAGCTGATCACTGGGGCTAAGCAAAGGGGTGAGTAGCCTGACTAAGGTAGCCTCAATAAACTCAACAAAGCGATGGCACCATCAATGGAACAGGGAATTGAGGTCATCATTCCTTCTGCTCCGCTTCTTACCATGCCAACTTCTCCCTAGAGATAGTGGGGTAAACTAAGCTCCCATGAAGATTCAATTCACTCCAGAGATTACCCTATGTCTGGGGAGTGTGCTCCTAGCTCTCAAGAACAGAGGCAGCCATCTTAGGATCCAGGCCAGGGCTCCTAAGAGTCTGAAAAATCCCAGGAGCAAGCAAGGCCGTGTGGAAAATACTAAGGGCATAGAACCAATTGTCACAAAGGCTTACTGCTTAGGATGACAACTGTGACGGCTTGACGCCGCATCAACGGCTCAACACTGCGTCAACAACTGACACAGACAAACGACACCAATACACCAGACAAGGCATTAGTGATGTCAAACAAATGCCTATAAAACCCCTTCTTCCTCTAGATAGATTCCTCTTTTCTCTCTTCTCCAGATTTGATGTTCTCGTCGATGACTACAATAGTTTAGATAGGAATTCAGTTCGTTATTATCTACTATTCCGAGCCCGTGACACGTAATATCCCTGTGTCGCTGCTCTAGGTGATGCAGCATTACTGTGCCCGAGTCAAATCTTCGATGATCACTTGAATGACTTTCACATTCAAAGCAATACTACAAATGCCCATGACTATCTGGGATGCCCAAGCATGAAGGCCGTCTAATGAAGCTGGCATGATACCTTCATAAGTGTTCGATCACATCAGCTTCACCCCAGAAGTCCTGATCATGGTCTGTGCAGGTGTATGACTTCATCTGTTTCATAAATATGATTCAAATCAAATGGTTGAAATAAAAAGTAGTATATGATGACTGAGGTAGATATGGTTAGGGTGTGTCACAACCCTAGGATCCTCGGACCTAAGGATGACATGTAAGCTGGGACTGGGAGCTGAGGGTACTAACAGGACTAGGGAACTGGAAACAGATAATCGTAAGTCAAGGAAGTAGGGACAACCTCGTACGTAAACTTGGCTGTAGGGAAAGTACAATCGGATATAGCCAGATAGTGAATCGTAAGACTTAAATTTTTACCTTTCTATTTTTTAATACAACTCTGTGGAGTTCGGCAAATCAAAAATATGTTCAAGACGACCAACCACTCAACCTAACTCTAAGGATAATCCATCATATAAATGAGAGACTAGTAATAACTAGTTATATGCAGGAATTCTTTGTAATCTACGCCTGGTCCATCTCCAATACATTATCCTCTGGTCCTCCTCGTGCACCATGTTTTAACAGCATTTCCACCATTTCCATCTCTCCTCGGTCAATCGCCCACCAGAGCGGCGTGCGGTTGTTCTCGTCTGTCACACTGACCTCCGCTCCGAGATGGAGAAGCAGTTCGCAGACCTTCACACTCCCCATCCGTGCGGTGTGCAGCAACGGAGTTACTCCATCGAAATCGCGGGATTCGGAATCTTCACCATGTTGCACAAGCAGGCGCACCACTTCTGAATAATCCCCTTCAGTCGCGTGCAGGAGCGCTGTCATGCCTGCGGAGGACTTAATCTGAATGTCGGCGCCATGGTCCAGCAGCATCCGGACTACATGGATGTGACCCTTCTCTGCCGCTGTGGTGAGTGCGGGATACGAGGATGGGTGATTAGGATCTTGCCCATGCCGGAGTAACACATCTGCCACACCAGCGTACCCTTCTCCCGCTGCCAGTTCCAGTGCGGTCGTGTACTGGCCATGACGTTTGACTGAGATCCGCGCCGTTCTGCAGTAAAAGCTCAACCACACCGGTGTGGCCTCCCTGGGCAGCGACCATCAGCGGCGTCAGACCGGTGGTCCCGGTCCGATCGATGGTCACGCCGTACTGAAGAAGAGACAGGACTATATCTTGGTATCCCGCGCCGGCGGCCAGGACCAAAGGCGTGACCGCCCCGCGACAGAGGTAGAATTGGGCAAGGCCCTCCGCTTCATTGTTTCTCTGAAGCTCGAACTGAAGATCTTGGGAGAAATGAGATGCAAACCGGTTTGGAAGCTTCAGTCCACGAATAGGTGCTGTGGTATGGACATCCGCTCCATGTTGAAGGGCGGTTTTCACAACCTCCACAAGACCGTGAATGGCTGCCCACTGCAGCACATCGCTCTCATGGTGCCGCGCGCTGCACTCATATAGATGACCGTTGAGTGTGTAATACAAAGAGTGATTGGCCTGGCAAAGCGAGTTAACATCTCGCAGGAACTCCAGACTGTCTGCAATCAACAGGAGCAGTTCCCGCGGGAGTTGAATCAATTCCATCATGGGTGACGAAATGGAGAGAACCTGAGCACGGTTTTGGACAAATGAGACACAGTTACCTATTTCCCTATTTCCTCTTGTTGGCGTTTCCGCGCAGTTCAGTAAGCCAACTCACCTCCCGGGACCCAGGGGTTATTCTCTCGCACTCTCGGCTATGTAGCTAGTTTAATCAACCGATTCAATCACCAACACCTCTCACACCGCTGTCACGTGCCAGGATCCGCAACCCAAGGACAAAAGCCAACCATGCGAGGGCAATCAATGGCCACATAGGGCATTTAGGGCCTGGCTCAGTAATCAGTCATATGGCTGCTGAGCTACTCACCCGGTCATTTATATTGTGCTGGTAGTTCGACGATGGTGTTAGATAAAGCGTTTTGCTCTACTATATTATGTGTAGTGAAGTTGAACGATGTGGATATTCTCTATTAGACTGGTAGCCTCTTGCACCATAGTATCACATCAAACGCTACCTGGGACGGGGCAAAGGAGTGTCCCGATATGCCGGCGGCAGCACTCCCTCCAGCCCCGCCTTGATCTGAAGTGCCAACGTCCGCGAATGCCATCGGTGCTGCTGCGTATAACCACCCATAATCCAGAAATTGTCATCATCAAGGTGTAAATGGCGCTTCCACATGCCACGGATCTCACCCTCAGCATCAAGTCCCCATGTTGCGTCCAGACATGCAGCAATATCACCAGGGCCAATGAGCCGGCCTTTCGCTTCATTCACGTTCCATTCTGAATGACTGCCTCCTAGGATCTGTGCAGCGCTATCACGAACATTCTTGTCAGAGAATCCCGTACACCAGACGATAGCATCTGCATCGGCGCAGCTGCCATCAGAGAACCGCAACCCCTTCGTTGTGTACGCGACAGGCTCGACCCCAGCTTTGACACTGACTTTGCCCTCCACCAGCAACTTAGTGCCGCCTACATCCACATAATGGCCTCCCGCCCGCTCCAGCAGGTTGTGCATCAGGGCAGATTCTGGGTGGCGACTGTCAATAACTGGGAAGCCAGCTGCTGCAAGAGAAGCATAGCGATCTGGTTCCTGCTCAGCAAACATTCCCATCAGACAGCGGGCAAGCTGGCCATCTACATGTGATGGCAGCAAGAGGAAACGCCTATCAGCGGCTGCAACACCTGTATCATAGACACCGAGACTCGCTTTATGACAAATGTATTCCTCTGGGACAATGTATGTTGGTGATCGAACAACCATTGTGGTCTGGAGTCCTGCTGCATGACAGTCCTCCATCACGTCAAAAGCAGTATTGGCAGAGCCGATAATGAGGACAGACTAGAGGGATATATTAGTGGTTTTTTGGGCTTGAATCAAACGGAAGCACCACTTACTTTGGCCTGCTTTGCGAGCTGTTTCCCATCTTGGTACTGCGCCGAGTGCATGCTTACGCCCTGGTATAGCTGACTGTCTGCAATTTGTGGGATATTGTACTGCTGAGACGCGACCCCAGTAGCGAGCACAAGGTGCTTCGAAATTGCCATGCCTTGACCAGCAGGAGTTTCATATTTAATAATCCAACGCTTAGCTGATTGATCATACTGCGTCGACTGAATCTGTGCTGAGGTGATCATATTCAGGTTGAAGGTCTCCACGTATTGTCTGACCTGCGAAGCTAGCTCACTCCTGGTCAAAAGATGGGAGCCTCGAAGCGCTTCTTTATATGGCATGTAGGGCATATCGCAGAACGAAGTTGGAAGGTGAAATCGCATGCAGTCGTAGCGCAAAGCCCAATTGTCACCTGGCTGGGGGTTTCGCTCGGCCATAACGCTCTCCACACCCAATGCCTTCAGGCGTGCGGCAAGAGCGACGGCACTATGAAGACGACCTGGTTAGCAAGACCGTCCTTCTTTTAAGATACCACATCACCACTTACGCGTTTCCGCCTCCGATGATGAAAACATCTGTCTGAAAGTCGTCGCGGCATTTAAGCTGCCTTGCGGGAGACTGGAGCAACTTCTCATTCTCTTGCTGCAGGTCCAGATTCTCGATGGTGGTGCTTAGGACCCATATCTTCCACTCAATCACTTTGTCAAGTTCACCATTGACTGGCAAGAGTATCACTTTACCCCCACAAGTAGCGGCTGGTGATTCTGTCCGGAAGGTAATCCCACAGTCAATGAATGGCTTTGTACATAAACAAGCCTGTCAGTTATTTGTCTCCCCGTCTGACACATGCATTCCCGGGTTCGAACAGTTACTCACCAGAGTCGGCAAGTCTTGACTGAATTGGGCTTTGCCATCAACCGTGATCTCTCCCGTGACTTTCCTCAAGGCCTTTGTTTCCAAAAGGCTGGCGGCAATGACGCCAGGAGTGGCAAACGTTCGCAAGTGGTAGGTAAGTGCAAGCTGGTCCTTCCAGTATGCCTGGCCGGGAAAAAAGCAGCTATCGAGCATCTCAGCATTGTCGGCGGCCAAAGCGGCATTCAGCCGGTCCAGAATAGAACACGCTTGCTTTGTTGGCTCGTCACCCGCCATAGAAGCTGGGTCTAGTTTTCCGGGGGAAATTGAAGGGACCGGATGCTCGTCCATCATCTTGCGCAGATCCACTTTAGGGGGGGATTCATCGCGGAACAACGTCATGTTGTCATCTGGACACTCTGCATATTTCGGCACTTTAGTTCATTACAGCCCTGCATCAGTTGTGGGTGACTGCATAGCAAACTCACTGAGAGTCTCCTTTGAAGGTTTTAATCCTAAACCATGAGCAATTGAAGTTGAAAGCCAATGCAACATTTTGATCTGCGTGTCTGACAAGGCAAATTGTCTCTCGTCTCCCTGTGCATATCTGTACAATATATATAGAGAGAGAGACCACCGAAACCCCAGGTGTTCAGCGGAAATGGCGCGATGCTCAAATGCTCGGAATGGGCCTAGCTTTTCCCGCCTAGTAACGTTAGTACAGTGTAGATCGGACTGCGGCAAGCGGACCGGTATCCGCGGCCGTTCCTATGTGGGTCAGATTGGCCAGAAAAGTGATAATGACTTTGAAGCGCATCCTGGCGTATTATTCCAGAGGAAATTGTAGGGCTATCACTTTCTAAAATAATGATCTGTCAACAATTCCCATACTTTATAATATTGAGAATTAAGATATTTAACAGCGGCATAGCCAACAAGTTTGCAATCCAAACATACCGGCCATTACTATTGTCAACATTAACATGTCGCCTGAAGAGCTGGATGCTCTGCTCAATGCGCCAGCTTTGGAACCACCTCCGGGTGTCACGCCAATGTTCGACAGCCCTCCAAACCGGAATGACTATGCCTGGGGTATAACCACAGTCTGCATGCTCGTTGCAACGCTTTGCCTCTGTCTGCGGTGGTACGTTCGGATATGGTTGGATAGGAAAGTTCGGATCGAAGATGGTAAGGTTCAATCTTTAAACGCCTTTTTGATCCACTATAAATGGACTCGGGAAGCTGACAATCACGCTTCTCGCCCTCGGCAGTTATGGCGATCTGTGCCTATGTATTGTTACCCATATCTCTCCTCTGCCCTCAGTGAGTTTCAGACGTGTTGACGATAATATTCAGGGTGCCTACTGGGGAACCGCATATGCCGCTTATGCGTTGATTGACGCGCCAGGCTACTACGTCCATACATGGAATCTCCGGAACAGAGAAATGATTCGGCCCCTATATGTACGTTGTTTCTCGTGTCGGCTTCCCAAAAGTTGGCAGCTAATCAGATCCATCCGTCAGCTGATTCTCATCTATGGATGCTGTTACTCCGCGGTCCTCCCCCTGATCAAGGTGGCCATTCTGCTGGACTGGTGCAGGGTGTTTGTTTCCATCGACAGGACCAAAAGCACTTTTTGGTGGGGCTGTATGGCCGTAGCCTGTTTTCAGTGTCTCTGGGGAGTCTTGTGCATTATCCTTTTGAATACCCAGTGTCGCCCACACCGAGCCATTTGGGAATTTTACCTTCAAAGCAAATGTTACTCTCTTCCAAACGTGATGCTCTGCTCAGCCAGCGTACAGGTTATTTCTGACGTTACCATGATCCTGTTACCGCAGAGGATTATCTGGGGCCTGCAAATGAGCCGGAAGAAACGGCTGGGGATTTCGGTCATCTTTGGAGTCGGTATTTTGTGAGTTCGCCCTACAGTTTTTTTGTTTTTTTTTTTTTTTTTTTTTTTGTTAGTTAAAGCCCTTATAATAAAAGGACTGATTCGCATCCAGAGCCTCAATTGCGGCGTGTATTCGTCTAGCCCACACAGTCGCATTTGCCAGTCAATCCGACAGTATCTACTTGATCGGGCCTCTTCTGTTCTGGGCTGATGCCGAGATGACTTGCGGCTTCTTCATTTTTAGCGTTCCCTGTCTTTCGAAGCTCATCATGGAGTCCGGTATTCGGCAAAAGGTTTTTAGTGCGCTTGGTTTCAGCAACCCGCTCAGTAACCGTTCCAACCAAAGTTCGGACTGTACACCCCGTGCGCAAGGCTCGCGCCGCATTCCCAAGGATTGGATGCCGACAATCAACTCTACCTGGTCGAGAATTGACGAAGAACATATAGGCTTGCACAATCGGTCAGGATCGCGGACAAATCTGTACGGAGTCTCTGGGTCGCATGCTGAAAAAGACGAGATACGCGTGCAGCGTACAGTAGATGTTACTGTCTCAAGCGATGGACATCCTAAAAGCAGAAATTGAGATAAAAAAAATGTTCCGTGGAAGTAGTACTGTTTATTTGTTGGTTTAATATACGAAGAAGTAGGGTGACTATTTCATGGTCTAGTAGGAATCTATCTTGATACTGCAACTGCCTTCGGCCAGGTTCCAAGTCCGGTATATTACATGCACTATAGACGAATCACTATGTATGACGGTACATGTATTTGCGTCAGATAGTGTCAATGTGCGAGAAAGGCGTTCTTCTCACGTATAGGCTACATTGGTTGTGGGCTCACAGTTGGCCTGCGCATTGTATCGGGGTGGATACTCGGTGCATCAGGAGTAGTAATTCTTTCCGGATAACTATACAAAAACGTTGACTACAGGACGGGAAACGGGCCCACCACATACGCTACTATGTTAGAGCACTGATCCAACAAATTAGTGGGCCGCCTTAAGCGCCATGCCTAATCACCGTGCGGGACTCACCGTTTTGATAGAACTGGAAGGATTACAGATGATCTGAAGGAATTAGCGGGACACGTTTGATACTTTTCCAGCTGCAAGCTTCCATGTGTGGTGTCAGGGGCTAAATCAATAGGGAAGAAGTGAGAACATGGTGAGGAGAAATATGGGAATATACAAGATTGGCTATTGTGCATCTGGTCATGGAAGTAAGCTAATTCATTTCTTATTTATCAAACCCAGCAGATTCCAACAAATCAGTGACCCCCTCATTTCCTTCCCTGCTTCGCTGCCCACGAGATGGATCACCCCTTTTTATTCTTGAACCAGATGTTGGCACCCTTGTCTAGTAAATATGTGACAGGTTCTCTCCGGCGCTATTGCTAGCATATTCGCGCGATGTTAATGCATCCAACAGCAGTCACTGGACCGTCCACTTTCCCCTGAAGGAAGGGGAGATATCGAGGTGGCCGATCGATGCTCTGGTCCAGTTTTCAGCGGCAAGACTAAGAGCGACTGCTTCATTGCCGACGGTGTAATTTTAAATCACCAAACCTGTTCCATTCGCTGAATGTGCTCCGATCATGACGGTCCTGTTTCCGTTATCAGGGTCAGTAAATCCCTGGACGACACTGTACTCCAGCTGCGTGGTGGCAGGTGAGAACTCCTCAATCCAAGCGTTGATGATCCGGAAACGATCAAGATTTGACATCAGATTCATGCCGACCAGCGCTGGAGATATACCTTCCGACCGAATGTTAGAGACAGTATAGTTCGCAATGGTGTTTCTTGTATTTGCAGTATTTGTTGCTGTCGGATCTTCGTAGCTGGCTGCGCATCCTACCAATGCTCGAGGGTATTACTCCGAGCCACCTTGGTATCTGCTGTGGATCACGTCGACCCGATCAACTGAAATTTTGGCTATATTACATAAATACCAACCCAGCGGGATAACTAGTTAACCGGGGCATTGTTCGTTTTCCACACCACGATTCGCTCGGCGCGGACATTCGAATAGTAGGCCTTGATGGTATCACCCCCAGAGTGGTAGAACACATTGCGGACGTAGCTGTTTGGATAAATCTGCAGGCTTTCTGTCTGCGTGTAGAAGGCGCCCACCTGCTTGTAATCGGCTACATCCACGGTGAAGTTTTCAAGATCTCCGTAGAAGCCCATGATATTGAACGGTTGCGCGTTGATGGTGATACCGTGGATGATCCAGGATTGTCCCGCCGTGATGCCCTCTCTTCTCCACATCTTGAAGGATGTTGCATCGGATTTGTTGTTGCTATATCCCGAGGCGACGTTGGCCTGGTAAACATATTGTTCGCCGGATAGGATACCAAATCCGCTTGCTTTTAAAGGTGAGTTGCTGTTCATGTATTGCACAACCCCCTTGACGTACGCTCCGGGAGCCAGGTACACCCATTTTACGGATTTACTCTTGGTTGTTTTCTTTTCAAACAAATCCTTATGATTCACTTTTGCAATGGAGAAGACTGCAAATGCTTTGTTCCCCTCCCAGCATGACCTCCCAACCAGGCCTCATAAGAAGTCGGGCATTCTATGTGTCTATTTCATCTTAAATCAGAGTCTTCTTATGTATGTCCCTCCTTCTATTATTGAACGACAACTACTAATGCTAAAAATATCGCTACTCTTTATAATTTTCTTTATTTTATACTTTTTCTTTTTCTTTTTTTTTTTTTTTTTTTCCCTACTATCATTACTATCAGGGAGAAACACTGCCTCAAAGAACTCACAGAACTCAGAAGAGGCCAGAAAGGGAAACTTGAAGTTCAAATCTGATGGGGTATTGCATTCTGTTTACTGGTGTACATTCCAAGTAGCTAATAAATCAACGACTCCTGGCAATCATAATCAACCCTAATAGTAATACTCAAGTCCAACTCAAAGCGATTTATTCATGGTATCGACTTCTCTGTCACCTTCCCGACAACAACGGCGATGTTGTCAAAGCCGTATTTCTGCTGGATTTCTTTCGTCTCCTTTTGAAGGGTTTTGTCACTGGGCGCATTGCCTTAATCCACTTAACAGTGAAGGAGTAGTATTCGTCTTTCTTCATGCCTTGATGGATTTTGGCGAATTGCTTGGATACATCGGTTTGTTCGACCAGAGTGTTTTGCTTGCCCAGCGAGTCCGTGTCGAGCTCTGCTGGCTCAACGGTGACAGGCTGTGGAGTCTCTTGAACATCATTCGAGGGAATGGGACTGGCACCGACGCTGACAGAGAGTGCGGCCAGGAAGACGGAGAAGACGGTTTAGAACTTCATGTTGTTGTTCCCATTAGGGCATTAGGGCATTATGGCAGGTTGTAGGAGCTCAAGCTCAGGCTAACTCAAGGCTGAAAGCGTTATATAAGCGCTTAGTTCTGCAGACTGTAAGTACAATATCCCAAAGGACTTTTTAGAGACTAGGATAGAAAGGCTGTGCTTTGGGGGGGGGGAGCAGCCTTATAGTCATGGGCCCAAAGATCGACGTTAACACCGCCCCAACTTAAGACCCGAAATAAAACATCATCCGTCTCCGACTGCATCCGTGTCCTTAATATCTTTCTTTTCTATATTCTATTTACCTTTTTGCCTTGTTGACTTCATCATGGATCCCCAGGATAACCCCAAGAATGTTGCTGCGTTGGTCAAAAAGGGCCTCATGACACGCGATGCTGTTTTGAAAACTCTCACTGGGAGAATGGAAGATTATGTCGCTTTAAGTCAAGATGAACGATCACAGCTTCGCAAGACCTTCGATTCTCTCTGCATAAATGAAAATAGCACAAGGAAAATCACCCAGTCTGCCTTTGTCTCATTCCTTCAGACTACAGGATTCCTCCCACTAAACATGACAGAGGCAGGAGCTCTCGTTTATCGTAGTCTTCTATACCTTTCTCAGGCTCCATTCTACGAATCCACAGCGGAGTCCTTAAAATTAGATGGCCTTCTTAGGGCAGTGGCCTCGACCGAATTTGAACGCTCCAGCAAAGCCTACGACGAGGACTCGGATACTCGATCCAGAACACCAGCTGACACCCGGCGTCTCCTCTTCCAAAGTCTAGCAACGACTCGTGATGGCAAGGGCTTACCCTTTGACACGGACCATGCAAGGAAAGAGGCCGAGCGCAGGGCGTTTGATTTCTCTGGCGTGTTAAAAGCTGAAAGTGCTCGGGTTTTCGCCCAGACCAACTATGGTGATGAAATGTTCCATGGCCTCCTTGATACGCTCGTAAACGCTCAACACACGTTGATAGGATGGGGCGGTGTCCCGCGAGATGGTTTCCGGCAGTTTGCCAAGGAGCTTCGTGGAGGAAGAGGGGAGCTCCTTCACCATCTCAGTATCCCGCAGGATGAGTTTCGGGCTGTTGTGAAACTTTTTCTGGTTGCGCATGTTGGGCGACCAATTGTCCAGATTGAGCAATCTGCATATCTAGACTGTATCTCGCACTGTATCGTTAGAAGCTTTTCTCGGGATACAGATCTCGGTATCACCTGGGAGATGTTTGAGCAGGCCAGAAATGGAGTAGTATGTCTCTTATTAGATATTCACCTGATAGAAAAGAGGCTAACTAAAATAGCCGGAGTTATTCATGGGTCTTCGCCATCTCCTATCCCCCCTTTAAAAACCATTAGATGAGATCGATATTAAAGACTGTCCGTCCAAATCAGGCCACATAGCCACCCGACCCATTCTCTTCCAGCTGGGAATGATTTTGTCCGAGACAGTGACCTTTGACAAAATCCAGCTGCACAAGTATTACAACATTACTGAGAGTACAACGTCGATCAACGCTGCTATCCTCGCGGAACAAATCGCAGCGACGCAAACCGCCGCAGTCCCAGACCCCGTTATTCTCCTCATCTCCGGAAAACTCACCCAGACGGGCGAAAGGGCTGTTTTCGGATATCATCTTATATGGTTTAAATCCGGTGATCCGGATCCTTGTCTCCTATTTCAGCTCAGCCCCGTCCACGACGTCTTCAGGGGAGATAATGCCGGTCGACCAGGATGGAAAATCGATAGTGATGAGAATCTTGTTTTCGGGGAGAGGAGTAACGGAGTGGCGTTGGTGTTGGGGAAGGATTGTAAGCGGGCGATGGTATCTCACCATGTTTCTGGGAAGGGTATGTACGATGCCACTACTTGGAGGGGAGACTGGCAGGCGGATATGCAGGTCGAGGAGATTGAGATGTGGATTGAGCTGTGATGTTCTATTATTGGAGTGAATGAACCAGAGAAACGAAAGAGAGGGTTCCTGCCAGACCATGTATGTCCAACTATACCAGTGTACTAGTTCCTACTCTTAGATTATACTCTAGGATTGAAAGGGTCTCATCCAACTAGCCCCATTGTATGTCACATATTCTTGGCAAGGTCAAACCTTCGCACGAATCTTCCTCATTGCATTCTTTTTACTCTTGGTCTTTCTCTTTTCGAACAAATCCTTACAATCTTGATTGCTCCCCTGATTGTCTTCATAAATGGTAGTCGGGGCATCGTGATAGATGGATCCCTTGCGGATGGCATATAAGAAATGCCGGATCCAAATCGCTTGCTTGGCTGCCTCCGACACGGCCATATATTCAGCCTCCGTGGACCTCTGAGCAGTAACTGACTGCTTTCTGCTCGTCCAGGCAATTGGCGTTCCATCAATCAGGAATATAAAACCGGTAGTCAACCGATTATTTGCCGAATTCGCATATGCAGAATCTGCGTACGCGGTTAAACCCTTTTGACCGCTCCCCTTGGCACCAAAGGTTAGACCGAAGCCTACAGTGCCCTTGATATACCGAAGCACATGCTTAGCCGCCGCTAAATGGACCTTTCGCGGCTCCGCGAGATACTGAGACAGTTGATTAACTACAAAGACGATATCAAGCCGTGTGGCAATCACCAAGAATATCAACCGTCCAATCAGCCTCCGAAATAACTTATGGACCTTCCGTCCTAAGCGTGGACTATCACCGAATGAATGTATCGGCATGCTTGGGCTAATTGGCGAGCTAGCGGGGTTGTAATCAGCCATGCCAAACTCTTCAAGAATCTGACAGGCGTAGGACTCCTGGTCTAGTCGAATAGACCCATCTCTCTTCCATGTGAAGCGAATTCCAAGCAGCTTTTTGACCAATCTGGAATCAGTCATTAGATGGAACTATTTGAGATTCCGCTTCACCGCGTCTATCTCTTTTACCTCCTTGCCGAATATGATGACGTCGTCCAAGTCAAATCTGACAAAGGCGTTAGACGCATCTAGCATATGCGCAGCCATCCCAAATCAGGCCGCCACAGCTATCAAGATCCGCAGGCTATCAAGTCGGAATACCGGTACGAACGTCCCGTCAAAATCGTCATCCAACTGCTCATTCCCTCTAGCGACTAACCGAGCCTTGAAGCGATCAATCCGCCCATCTCGTAGATGATATTGTTCCCTCGGCGTCCTCTCAGGGTACGACGTTCCACGTCCCGCAGTTCATTAAAGCGCTCAATTCCTTGTGGATGGCTTCTTTCCACTTTGAGCCATATATCGGGCCGTTTACAGCTTCGCCATATGTCTTCAGTATCCAAACTCCTGCTTTCTCTCGCGCTGCATGCGCAATCTCGCATTCATGATCTCCAATCAGCAGCTCCGTGGTTACCGCTAGTCTCACTAAGTTGGCCCGTAAGTGCTGGGCTGGACGATCATCTCATCCTCCCCTTCAGCCTAGCGCTTTCGGCCACTGCTGCTACTGCTCATCTGCTGGATTTCAATTAGCTGAGCTGATGGCTTCCGAATGAGTGCGGACTGCCGTTCAACATTGAGCTCAGGCCGGTGGCGTCCGTCTTCAGGGACCGGCTCAGGCCTAGACACATCCTCTGGTGTCTCAACAACCTGTTCTTGGGATTCTTTCTCACGCACTTCCTTGTTCGTACGTTCCTCCCCTTCAGGCTGGGCTTCTTCATTGAACGGTTTTAATGGCTTATCTGTCATGCCTCCATCCGATGGTTTCAATGGCTTATCCATCGTGCCTTCAATCATGTACCATCAGCTCAATACATAACACAATCTATTGTCAATGTTCCTCTATACCGATTATCCAGGAACTTGAAGATCTTTTCTTTGCCTGTTGACATGCTCGTGGCTCCGCTAACAAAGCACCACATTGTTAATAAGCTGTCATCCACCAGGCATGCTCTCTCTCGTACAAAGGTCACTCGCTCAGACAACACATGCAGTTCTCTCATCATCAGCCATTCCGGCTTCAACTGCATACGTTCCGTACCCGTCATCCATGCCATTCTCAACCAATTCTCCATACCTTCCTCAGCGATCCTGCCTCGCTGTCTGGACCTTCGCTGTCCATTCTGGTCCCGATTCCTATTCCGCTGACCTCCAGAGCCTCAGCTTCTTCTCTCGTCCGCCTTGGTGTCATCATCCTGATCAGTCCTATCAGGGCAGTATCTTGCTTGCTTTATGTTCATGCCTGTTGCATCCAAAGCACCTGACACTCTTTTCTTGGGCCTCAGAAGCTCTCTCTATAACGGCTCTCTCATATGCATGAGGTCTTCCACGCGGCTGAGGACATCACCCTTGTGATCCTCCGTTTCATGGAACCAACATCCAACGTTTACCTCATTCAGCTTGTCTTTCTCAGGCATATCCTTGCCCTTGCTGCTAGTCTCTACCATTATGACTTTTCTCACAACCCAATAGGCTCCGCCGAGCAGATTATTGGCCGATAATCGTGTAGGGAACTAATCGAGGGTGAGACACGTAGTCGGAATCGTATCGATCGGTCTATACTCGATGTTAAGCGAATATAGAACCCCCGGGATGCCACACGCGGGTTAGGCGTTGATATATCCAAATATCTTGGGCAGGCCCGGGCTCATAACCAATGAAGCGGGGTCTCTCGGATCGTAGCTCAGAGGGGAAATCGGGAGTCGATTATTCCGGACTAACGAGGTCTATATGGAGAGGACTAGCTGGACGAAAGAGGTATATTGCCCAACGAACGTATGTGCGTGTACGCAGCTGATTGAGTGCTTAATCTACAATATGTGTGCGCACGTCGATTATAAGAATCTCCTGACCTCGCTACTCGGGCCAATTATTTATCCGATCGATCCTTATGAAAAAAAGCAAGGAGGAAAGTAGCAAATGAATAGAAGGAAAGAAAGGGCTCCGCATAGCTGACTTATGCACTCCTAAACCATCGACTCATGAGATTTATTTAAACGAAAAGGATGATATTATGCTCGCCTATCGTACGTATATGCGCATATGGCTACTTGAGTGCTTGTCTATCTAACTACCGGGCAGAAAGCAAGGACTAACAGCCATCGGGCTCTCAACAAAATATAGCCAGTTTCAGTGGGATATCTGATGGAATGATTTCGAATTATATACAGGCTCCCTTCTGCCCTCCAAGCGACCCCGTACAGCAACAGAGGCAAACCTGTCTTTCTTCCCTTGTGCTTTAGATAGAGACTGTTTGCTGAAGAAAAGCTTGTAACTGTATGGGATTGGCCCCAACAAGTTCACCAGCTTTATCGCCGTCTTTATACAGCATGAAGGCTGGCATTGCACGTATACCAGCCTCCTGGGCAATTTGGCCTTGTTCATCGGTATCAACCTTATAGAATTTGACATGACTGAAAGCCGGAAGTCCCGACAATTGCTCGAAAATAGGCGATATCACCCGGCAAGGTCCACACCATGTTGCCCAGAAGTCAATTACAACGGGGTCATCACTATTCACGATGTCCACGAATTCATCGTACCTACCATATTGGCGACATTAGCACTGAGCAATACGGTTGGGGATAATGTTTTTGACGGCACTTACGAATTGATGGTTGTAACGGGCATCTTGGACAAGAGGTTCTCTTCAGAATTCACAAATAGGTAATTTGTATAAGATGAAACACAAGAGAGTAGCTTAGACACAGCAAGAGAATGACCTGAGCCGACTACGTATCTATGTATTTACGTGATTTTGTCCAGCCAGCCTCCTCATCCCCTCCATTTCAGCAGCGCTACGTTCAGACACTGCTCCACATGGCCACGCGTCAGCCGCACGGTCATCTCAGCTGAAACTGGTCAACACTCCAATAGACAGTAGTACCAGACTACCAGAGGGAAGATCAGATCCAGATATGAACGTATTTCGGTGGGTGGGTCCCAGCTAGTAAAATTGCCGCATAGTAGATTACCTGGCAAGTACTATGAAGATGGTGAGTTGTCAGTCGAAACTTCAGCTGGATTTGAGGTCATGGAGCCTTCTTCATATTTGATACAGATATTTACAGGATTTTGAGATCACTATGAGGTTGAAACGGCCGGGAAGAAAAGGGATGAATTCCTATGGATCATGACTCTTTAGGATCGTAGTGAGGAAGGTTCCCAATGTGGCTTGTGGGTGTTGTGGGGTTCTCGTACGAACTCTGAGGAGTTGTTAACATGCACATGCATATACGATGAATGGTGATAGGATCGGGGGACTACAGCTATGCAGCCTTTTACCATGGCCGGCACAGAATGAATACTGTAAAAACCCCGCTATAACGAGAACCCCGTTATAGAGAGGATATACATATTTTAGCTGAAAAATAGCCTCTATGGCGGTATATATATCATAAAATGCCTACTAACATGAAAAATAGCTTCTAATATCACGCTGGTTCTGCAAATCCAACTTCCGGCGCCATATAACACGCTCATGTCTCTCCATCTCACGAATAAAGGCAGGGTTCCCTTCCATCTGCTGTTCTTCATACAAACGGAGCTTTTGAATGGCTGCGAATGCTTCCTCTGCAGATACTTTTGGTAAAATCTCAATCTCTTCATCAGAATCCTCCTCAATCTCAGGCATAAATTGAGCCAGAATCTGGTTGTCGACATCATCCAGACTGTTCTGGACAGACTCCTCTTTGGGATTCAAGAAAGCATGTATATCCATCAGATCTTGGATTGGCGTAGAAATCTGAAGCTGAGAAAAGGAAGCTTGGATATCATTCATCACTGCAGGATCCACGGGCTCTTGATAATGTATTTGACCATCAAGAGCCTTTTGAAAGCAGTCTTGGATAGTGTGCCCAGAGACATCATTCTCCCAGCTTCGTAAGCCCCATCGGATGGCTTTTAAAACATTCATTGTATCAACGGGGTTCCGATTGGCTTCGAATTCATATAGGATATATTTGATCCAGTACCGCTTCCAGGGTGCTTTCCAACAATTGATGATTCCTTGATCAAGAGGCAGATATCGGCTTGTTGAATTTGCAGGAAGCCAGATAATTAGAGTATTTTGAAGTGGATTTTCACCTGTTAGGATAGCTGCTGCCGCCTGATGAGCAGAGAAGTTATCCATAAGAAGAGCAACCTTTCGTCCGGTCATTTTCCTATCAAACCAATGAAGAAACTCAACAAAGATTTGGGTAGTCATCCAGGCCTTTTGATTGCTCCGCCAGACTAGATTGAAATTCCGAATATTGATGCCAGCAGCTCTAAAAGCATGTGGATTCTTTGCAGTTCCAATAAACCAAGGATCTAGTTTCTCAGAGCCATCTGCATTGCAGCAGAATAGAGCAGAGATTCTTGCTTTTTCCTTTTTCCAGCCAGGAAGCTGTCGAGTTGAGAGGCTTCGGGATGGGGTCTGCTTCCAAAAAAGTGCTGTTTCATCACAATTAAACTGGTCCCTAAGGCTATAAGCACTCAGAGCCTGTCTAATAGTAACCATCTCCTGCTCTGCCTGCTTTGGGACACCTCCGGCTTCTCCATGCTGCTCATGCCATTTGACAGTCCTCCGGGCTTGGAACCGATGAAGCCAGCCATTACTGAATGTAGGCTTCTCCATGCTAGGATACATTGTGTCCCAGAATTGCTCTGCCTTGCACCGTACAATCTCTGCAGATATAGATATTTGTCCCTCCACATGTACTATCCAATCGTATAAGGCATTCTCCAACTCTGGCCAGTTCTCACGGTGTTGGCGCTTTAAATTTCGGTGGGGTGTTAGATCATCATCAAGGTGGTTATATTTGCTGGAGAGGATATCGGAGATGAGACCAGATGAGAGGGTATGATTGTATTCAGCTTGGAACCAGTTGCAAAGGTCTTTTTGGCTTGTATTTGGATAGAGGCGCTTTCGGGCTCGCAGGGGAGGCTTTTTGGGAGGCAGGGATGGACTTCCGTGGTGGCATATTAGCTAATCTCCGTTATAACGAGATTTGTATGGGAGGACAGAGAGAAATTAACGAGACTCGTTGTAACGGGGGTTTCTCGTTATTTATATGGGAAAACTAATTCAGGTAACGTGACAATCTCGTTATAGCGGGGCTCGTTATAGCGAGGTTTTACAGTAACTAGGTAGCCCAACAAGTGTAGTCGGCTCAGGATTTGCTCAGGTCTGCTCAGTGAGCCAAAAGCGACAAGGTCTGAGCACTAAGACGGAAAGGGCAAGCCTTCAAAGCGTCGAGAAAATCAAGTTTGTATGCATTTTTACCATAATAAGTAAACAACTCTATACGCATTCCAAAAACCAAGTCGAGGAAATTACCCCCGAATCTCCCATAACCGAATCCGCCCCTGCTCATTCGCAACAGCCAACAACTCCGAGTTGGGCGAGACAGCCACCGACGAGATCCGGCCCATGGGCGTATTCGATGTAGGCCAGTTACGGTAAACGGTGCAGGTGGGGAGGTGAACTAGACGTATTAGTTAGGATCAAAACTGGAGTAATGTAAAGGGAAAGGGGAAGCATACCCAATCTCAACGCATCTCTCTTCCACCGAGAAGCCATGACCAAGAACTGACCATCCGGCGCAAATACTAGATGGCTGATAGGCGTGGTGAGCTGGTCCAGCGCACGCACGGGGGTTGGGTTGCGCGGGATTCCAGCGTTTTCAGCCTTCTTGTTGATCCACTCCCGTCGGTCATAGACGTTAACAACACCACTCGAACTCCCCACAGCAACCCATCTATCACCACCGAGCTGCGCAGGACCATTCTTTCCACCGAGCTTCAGCACCGTGGTACCCACGGCACCGGCGTCGACCCAGCGTGCGACGATACGGTTCGATCTCGCGTCCCATTCGGAGACTTCACCGTTCTTGCTGACAACCGTCATACCCTCGCCGTCGCTCCACCATTCGAAATCAGCGACACCTCCGCGGCCGTCAACGCGCACCTGCGCAACCCACTGCGCGGTTCCCGAGTCGAGCACGTTGATGAGACCACCGCCCTTTCGCGATGATCCAACGAGTCCGATATACCGTCCACAGGGCGAGAGCTTGAACCGTTCCATGGTTTTTTGCTCCTCCTTGCGGTCTGCGGTGCCGTTGACTTTGTCGACTTTGCCCGTGTCCAGGTCCCAGATGTGGAAGTAGCGGCGGCGGCCGGAGGCGAAGACTTTGGTGCCTGTTGGGTGGGAGAAAGCGGAGGTGTGAATGGGCGTGCGGCGGATGTGGAGGGAGGTGAGAAGGGGGTTGGGGGCGGGTGCTGAGGGGGAGATGTGGTGAAGGAAGAGGGTTGATGCTGGGCCGGAGGAGAGGAGGACGGGGTAGTGCGGGTGGAAGGTGAGGGAGTCGATAGAAGACTGATCTCGTTAGCAGTATACTCGGATAAGTAGGGTAAAGGAACGTACCGGCTGGTCCTTTCCAATATCCTTCAACCTCTGGATATCCACAACCTCCTGGCGCAACTTTCTCTTCCCGCCTGGGCCAGTATTCTCCTCCACGCCACGGGTAAGATCCGTCGCATTCTGAAGCAACTTGGCCAGCGGCTGCGTAGAAACCTGCTCCTCCTCGTCATCCGTATCCATCTCATTATCCGAATCATCGCTGTCCTTGTCCTTCGCCTGGTTCACCTCCGGGTTCGCCCAGTCCGGCACGGGGTTCAATTGCTGGAAGTGTCTGCGCAAACGACGAATATACTCCTTGCCGCTGATCACATCATCGGCCTCAGTGTTGCGCAGCTTGCGCAATCGCTGATGGCTCGCCAGAGAAATGGTGAGGTTCTCGTCGTCGCTGTCGTGCCACGCCGCAGGCGCGCCTTCATCTTCGCTTTCTTCGTCGGAGGGGTCGGAATCGGCGAGATCGGTAGAGACAGGGCCCGCTCCGGAGTCGAGGAAGAAGAGCTACCATCCAAGATTAGCCATAAATCACAGGAAAAAACGGTCAAGGCAACAAACATCGGAATCATCAACGTCCCCCAGCTCCTTCTCCTCCCCATCACTTCCCTCGCCCTCTTCACCCTCTCTAGCACTCTCATCATCACTCATCGCCCCCCAAGCCATCAACCCCCGATCCTGCTGGCTCTTCAAAGCACCCTGAAACCCCTCGTCATCTCCGAAAAGCATGCGCTCGAGTTTCTTCTCCGTCTCATCTTTCTCGCGGACTACCTCCTCGTCCGCATCTTCCTCTGCGTCGTTATCCATCTCGACATCACTGTGGTCTTGCGTCATGACATTGGCGCTTTCAAAGGGAGACCGCGAGCTGGTCTTGACCTTCGGGGCCTTTTTCTGTTTCTGCGCGACGGCGATTTTGGGCATCTTGGTCAATTGGTGGTGTGATTTAAACACCAAGATAAGTCAATTGTAAGAATCGCAAAATATCAGAATAATTGTAAGGGAAATACTGCAGGTGCAAATGTCCTGCACAAAAAATTGTCGACAAGACCAGACTTTTCTGTTCTGCGAATATTTTTCTTCGGGGCCGGCAGAATCGGGCGGCAATTTGAGCGGTGAGAAGCTCATTAGGGCATGGCCACTGACAGGCATGAGATTGTCTTACGTTAAAAGAGGCAGTATTTCAAGATATAAAGACATGGTATTTTTTGTTCCAAACTCCTGTATATGGTGATGGTGGTAAAACAATGAACAAAAAGCACAGAACTAATCCCATACGCCCAACCCATCAATCAACGTCATAGACATAAAACTGGTCATCATAAACATTCGTAAAACAATAGCTTTTCATCAAGTCAAAAGCTGCCGGATCCTCGGCTATGGCTACTGCTGCTTGATCCAGACGATGATGAAGAACTATGCATCCTGCCGACCGTGTGATCGTACATAGCGCGGATAGAACTGAAGCCATGCAGAGCTTCCTTAGCATGCGAAGGCGAGTCCAGTGGTTTCCCGTTCTTTGCATGGCCTTCTTCCGCATCTAGAATCCCGTCATCTTCCAGACCTGCCAGCAAGGCATTGCGTTGGTTGTTCTCCTCATCGACTAATGTACCTTCGCGGTCGTCCTCCTCGGCTAGCATTTCGTCGGCTGGTGTCATGGGTTTCTTGATGAAGGTGTCGATGATGTAGTACTGGATCGCGTTCATGATCAAAGGGAACAGCAGCATGACAAAGATAACCTGAACAGCCGTGTTCCCTTCCGTCCATCGAAGCGCCCAGTCACCCACTTTGACGATAAACGGTATGAAATGGATAAGGAAGAAGACGCATATCTTCATGCCCAGCAAGCCTATGAAGTAGACTATGGACTGCTTGAACCACCATGTCGCACGGGGCGGGTGCCCATAATTTCCGGATTCGATAGACTCGGGAGGGTTTGCGAGGGGAGTATATGACGCTAAAGCGTTCAGAATTCGAAGGATGAAGATGAGGATCGGAATTCCAAGGGTAGTCTAACAAAAATTGGAGCGATTAGTCACTGATTCGGTTATCGGATAAAAGAGCCAAGCTTACATCAATTCCGATATTCAACAGATAAAACGAACACGGATTCGGTTTATATGTGCTCGTGATGTCAAACTGGCCCGCAGAAAACATAGACATCAAGAGATTCGCAAGATGTAGCATCGCTGAACCAAAGACCTGCTTAGAAACGTCGAATGCCCACACCTTGACTGGCCGTTGCGGCCTTTCCCTCCATCGCTTGTATACCAAAGATAGTAATGCTAGCGCTCCGAGTGCCGCTTGTACGATGAGTGAAAATGATCCGAGCAGTCTGCATTCTCCATTGCCGTTATCTTGGGGGTTAACCTCCACATGAGACGCAGCTTGGGTTGCAGACGATGTAGGGTTTGAAAGGATGCTGGTAGTCGTTGCTGCAAGGACGGTGGTGGTGGTCGCTGCAGTCAACGAAGCGAGGGTCGAATCCATGGCCGATTCGATTCGATTCGCACCTCATGCGGTTTCTCGAACAAAGAGTGGAGTTGTGAGGAAAGTCGGAACGAGGGACGAGAAATGAGGGAAAGCGATTATGTTTGTCTGTTAGTCGCTACACACGGCAGACAGACATGGATGGCGGGCGGCTGGTGAGGTTGACGATCAGATGGCGTTAGAGGGGCGATTGGCGATTGACAAGTGAGACAAGGCATACAGCACAACAGATTAACGCCTCACTATAAGTACTCATGAATTGTTCCTTGTGGTAGTTGGAGATTGCCGATGGAGACTCTGCGCTCTGTGCATGAGAGAAAAGCCAAAAGGAGAAAAAAAAAAAAAAAAAAAGGCACAGATCTTTTGCCAGCAAAAGCACTGTTTATTGGGTTATTGGTAAGAGAAAATGACTCTCACCAGGCATAATTGACTCTATTAACACTGCCCCATCCCGCAGGCGGTGAGTGGCGCAGCCGGATGTTTCATTGAATAATACGATCTTTTTTAGTTACGGTCAGGATTAAAAGCAAGCGGGGAAAGGGTCTCGAGGCTATGTCATGATTTAATTGAGACCCTTAAATCGTGGGTATTAAGGGAGAAGAGAAAAAAAAGCAAAAAAGAATTGCCCCCAACCAGGATCGAACTGGTGACCTCGGGATTTCAACCCTGTTACCAGGGATGTCACAAGACTATGAGACCCACGTCATGACCAACTAGACCATGGAGGCAACTTGATACTTGATCCAGCCAATCTTAGCTTTATAACCTATTAAAATAATTTACTATAACTCGCGGAACTACTGCTATAACCACCAAAAAGTACCGTTAATGATTTCCGACGCTGTTATCTCTTCTGATATGTACCTATACGTACCTGTTTTTCTAGAGCGACCGTGACTTTCCTCTTCTGGATGCCTCCGCTTTAATGAGGGTACTCAAGAGGCTTGCTCAGCGAGCGCTCAGTGCGTACTCAGGGCCTGCTCAGTGAGCAGTCACGTGGCCTCCGAGCTGCTCAACCCCCCTTTATATTGCGCGGGTAGTTTGACGGCCATGTCTGATGAACAGCCCTCAAAATTGCCCAGGTCGTCCAATCTACCATACAAGATGATACACAAGTAGAAAGTTCATGGAGACTAGCTGAATCCTGAGTGGTGAACTCTAAGCGAAGCATACACTCAGAACAACTGTAAATTAATATGAAGATGGGTTCCCAACGAAGCTATAAATGCAGGTATTTCCCTCTCTTCAAGATAGTCAATTCCATGGAAGCAAGATCCCATCAGCCATTACTCCTTTCATTTACTCTTCTTATATTACATCTTTCAATTGTCTTATTCCCATTAATCTTCTGCACTCATGCCTTTCCCAGTTTGATGATGAGACAATGGGCAAAAGAAGTTTCTTCTGAGATGAAGAGGTAAAAAGAAAGCACTATGAGTGCCAAGTGTTATAGGGTTCTCGTACGAACCCAAAAGGATGACAGTTTGGCTAAGGCCAGCACGGAACGCAGCCGGCAAGGGGTCTGAAACCATTATCAACGACTCTCGTACGACTCCCTGGTATACAAGGACTATCGGTGACCCCTTCGCTCAGCCCCTAACCCCCGAGAGGGATCGTGAGAATACTATTCGGAATATCGTTCCCATACGACCATAAAAGACCGCCCCCGTTTCTGCTCTGTTTGTTTCTTCAACGATTCCTTCTTGTATAATAAAGGGTAGCTTTAGGTTAAGACAACTTGAGTTCAACCCGGGACACAGCACTCTTGATCAGCTAGTAGCTCAGGTTTGCTTTGCTGGAGCGAGATAGTTTATCCACCTCTTTGAGCAACAGGAAATGCGAGACCTTATGCGCTGAATCCGTCTTACCAAATTCCTGATCGCCATCGAATCGCCGACAATCTCCTGGATGAGTCCTATAATGAGCTACAAGAGGAGGTCGTGAAGGAGCTGCAGAGGAGTGAGTTCCTTAATATTTCTGTGGATGAGACTACAAATATACTATCTCAACGGGTAATTGCATGGTATAAAGATCGATCGAAAAAAACCTTAAAATGGGGGTGTGAAGAGTACCAACTAAATGACCTGGTTGGAAGTCTACCAACCGGTCAGAATAGGAGTTAGGTAGTAAGTGGGTTGCTGTCTGATCAGAATTCCCCTAGTACATACGTTTGCCATGTCTCTGTTGCTTACACTAACGTTTACTTGTTTTGAATTAGTTGCGTATAGGGAGTGTGTTAAGTGTGTTACAGCTAATCCATCATTTGCTACATCAATCCCTCTTTTATAAGCTTCTATCGCATAGAAAATTGGAGGATAGCAATTGAACCTGTCTTAGCCTAGGTTTGCGAATAGACATCGCCAAAACCCAACCTTGGGTTGAAGCTCGTAACCCAGAACCCAACCCAAACCCAAAAGAGTATAAAACATTTTTTTGTCATTCATAAAGCTGATTATTCATCCCAATAAAATACTGTTATTGAATACTGTTTCTGTTCGAGTGCTGACCGGTGCAATTTTTAATTAGAAGACTGGCGAAATTCTAACAAATATCTTTATATATTCACTAAACAAGCATAGTAATGGCTTATCTTTAGTAGTATTAGTATTGATCACCTTTGTATGTCGTATACGATGACACGGTTAGCGGGGCGCCGGAATCCGCTCCCATTGAACCGCGCTTCTGCTGGGTCCTACCGCCTGCCGTCGACGGGAAAACTATGTACCATTTATGATATAGCGCCTACTGTGTTGGGGATAGCGCCATCTCGCGCTGCTGTTAGGCCGCTCCCAAGCTGCTCCACCATCCCCCGACTGAACTATATAACCCCAACCCGATCCCCTCCAAGGACGACGCACTTTCTCTTCTCTTTTTCTCCCTCCATCCTTCCCAGCCGGTGCACTGCCCCCTGCAAAGGATGCCGCGTTATCCGACGATTGCCCTCTTTCGGTAAGGCGCTCTCCCTGCTCCGAGCATTCATTATCTTCCCCCCCTGAACTACGGAGTCGCCGATGTGTCGTCTGACCCAGTTTCGACAACTTGCAGCTGCTTTGATGGCTATCCTTGACCCTGCAGGGTAGTGGAGGTTCCTTGACAATCACGGAAGCAAGAAGCCTCCGATCTTCCCTCTACCGTCTCCTTTGGTAGTAATGACAATCTGGCGTCGCGAAAGCAATCGATATCCGGATTTCGATATTTGGCTGTGTTATCGGTCTTCCAGCCTCTACTCTCTGTCAGGTTTCATTTGCTCTGCCGATTTTGCAACCTGAAACAGTGATGGCGGCCTTGTCACCACCCGAGTGCTGGAGACGGTACCTATTCTCCACCTGCAAAGCCAGCCTGCTCACTAGTTGGCACCATCCGCACTATTCTTGTCCAACCAATTCCTGATCACTTGGGCGCATTTGACATCTGCATTCCCACCATTCTCACCATCCAATAGCGAAAATACCGCACCCCTCTTCTTGTGACCTGGACCAGGCCCACCGGGATGCATTGGGTCGTTCGTATATTGAAGGTGTAGCCCTTCGCGAGCAATTGCAACTGTTGGATGTGAGAAGTTCTGGGCATTCTGGCGCGAATGGGCCCTCCAGAGATTTCCTTTTCCCGGGAGAACAGACGCGTCAGCAGCTGAACTTCATCCTTGGCCTGCATGGATATGGGAAAAGAAAGCAGATACGGTCTAAAGGAACGGGGATTGCCTAGGTCGATGGTACAAGAGATGCCACTGACCCCAGGGTCGGAGTTGTTGCGTCCCCCACTCCAATGCCACACAATTCCTTTCCCCTTCACCGTGTCGTTCCCTAAAGATGTTCCAATCTCCATTCCATGTCAATGCCTTCAAGCCTTGGATTCCCCCTCTAGCCAAACCACATCAGTCACACGATGTCCACAAGACGGCTAGCCGATCCTTCTGGCCCTGCCACCAGAGTTCTGCTCCATACAGGGCTACTGACTGCACCGCCGCAACTTGAACTTGGCGAGCCAGTCCTGGAGCGAGTCCATGAGTCTGGCATAGGCGTTGTACCCGGTTTTCTGCAGCCCATGCCTTGCGCATGCAGGTCTGATAATGGGCCTTGAGATTTAGGCCGGAGTCAAGCCAGACACCAAGCCATCAGGTTGCTTCTGGGTTGAAGGGCACACAGTGGCCATCTACTTCCACTCATGCTCGTTGAATCTGATCCTTCAGCTCCCGGCCCCGTTTGCGAATAAGCAGGACTGCTTCTGTTTTTCCTGCATTAAACTGGACCACATTATCATGACCCCATTCAATAGCCGCCTTGGCTGCTTTCTGCAGTTTGTCACAGACCTCTTTGACAGAATGTCCTGAGGCAAGCAGACCTACATCATCTGCAAAAGAAAGAGACTGGATGCCAGTCATGTGACGGCTCAACGGCTCAACGCCAGACAAACAGCGCCAACATATCAAACGATGCCATACAAGCAATATGGGCAAACAAGGGCTTAAGCCGCACCACACAAATGCCTATAAAGACCGTTCATCGCCTAGATAGATTTCCTTTTCTTTTTCTTCTTCTCCAGATTCGATATTCTTGTCGTTAGGCTACCTAGTCTAGATATGAATATTATTCGTTTTATCTGCTAGTTTCCGAGCCCGTGACGGCCTGCGGCCTTTATTCCACCAGACACCATCCGATACCCTAATACGCCGCAAAACAGGAGATTTTGCGGCGCTGCAGCTACATGCCACTGGAGCCTTATTCCCGACACGGGTAAGGCCGGCGTCAGATTATGCTTAATTATTGGCCGCAGAGGTTGATAATCTTCATCTTGTGGGTAACACACAGACCACAAGTCACGTTACGGAGAACGCCATGCCCGGTGAGAATATAACAGCTATGGCCCCCTTCAAAACTTGCCAAGCTCTTTGCGAAAGAGAAAGTAGTAAAAGCCGCAGGGAAGATGTTGTTGGCCCTACCGCGTCCGTATTATCTTGCGATACCAGCTGCCTGTATTCTGCTTTCGTTATACCTTTTTGCATTCCGAGATTCAAGCCCGACATATGTTCGTCTTCCTTCGAGCTCTGTGCCGAATTCCAGTCCGAGCGCCGGTCCCGCATTGTCGGATATGCTATCAACGCATGGCGCAGGGAACGCGACCCTGGGCGTAAGTATCCTATCGTTTGAAGTTTCATATTCATGAACAATGCGCTGATAGTAATTCGTGCACTAGTTCCAAGAAATTCTTGTCCTTTCCGCTGCTCCCTCATGGCGGACGAGAGGCTTGTCGGCCGCTGCGCAACTTACGGGCCTGCAACTTAAGATCCCTAAGCAACCGCCTATTCATCCCGACCTCGTGAATGCGTTTCAAGCTCTCGGTCCCGAAGAAATTCAACACCCAACCCATGGCGCCAGCGCCGCATGGCTCGCGCATCTCGATCTCTTAAAGCATGTTTGGCAATCGGATCTCGATACCGCTCTGATCATCGAAGACGACGTTGACTGGGACGTAACTATCCGAGAGCAGACAGTGAGGATTGCAGAGGCGGTGAGGAATCTGACGCATACGTATAATGACAATGAGACCACCGCGCCGTATGGTCGCGCCTGGGATGTTCTTTGGGTAGGGCATTGTGGTGAATATTGGGAGGACAGGATCGAGACGATCGTATACGAAGACACTGGCGTCTGTCCGCACGATAAATACATCGGCTGGGCCAAAAATTACGTTGATCGCCTCCCTGATCACCGCCGGAATGTATATTGGTCCTTGAACCCTGTCTGCTCTTTCGCATATGGTGTATCCGGTGAGGGCGCGAGGAAAATCCTGACACACCTCGGCGGCGCGCAGGACGAGGCCTTTGATGTTTCGATGATGCACTTTTGTCAACAGCGGGTGTTAAATTGTATATCAGTAGTGCCCGAGGTCATGCATCAGTATTTCCCCGCGGAGTCCTTTGGGGTGAAGAGTCTTGTAGATGTTGGGAATGGAGAGGTGCAGGGAAGTGTTGATGAGTCGTTTGAAAGTGTCATGGGTGCGACGGAGAATATCCTTGAGAGCGCGCGATGTCATGCTTTGTGGGGGAAGTCTTGTTTGAGGGGGTGATCTGTCTTTTTGTGCATATTATAGTACATAATGATGCTCATGCATGTGTCCATGTTTACCAGTTCGTTTTATAAAACCCCCCCAAGCCACAGAACTTCTTGCCAATTCTGATAGCAGCACCAGAGATGATTCCCCATACGCTTGCATTTACCGCAGCTCGCACGCTCAATAAGAGTCATTTTGCCCTTGTAGGTAAGAATAGCAGTTCGAGAACCACCGCCGCCCCATACTCCAAGCGCGCGGGCGTCAGAGTGGAAAGCAGAGGACGAACCTCGCGATGAGAGAAACGAGGATACCAGAGAACGGAGGTAGAGAGATTCAAGCGGAAGGAATAAGACAGTTGTCAGCATGGATGCGAGATGCGAGGCGAGGGGATCGACTGGGTGGGAAGATAGAATCATGAGCCGTCGCGTGAGATACAGGCACTCTCAGCCCATAATGCCAATGCCCAATGGAAGCGTGATAGCCTACCAAGTCCTGCATCTTTCTATAAACGTGGTAAAAGGCTTTTCCAGGCAAATCATATTCATACTTTTTGGATAGGAGCTCGGAGGGATCTTTGGGCGACTGTGGGGCTCTATGATGAACAGCTGCTAAGGGAATGGGTATCGCGCCTGTGATAATCAGGAAGATTAGTGTAGGCAAGGAATGTATGGCCATCTGCTGGGTCACCTGAAGTTCGATGTGTTTGAGCATCATGCTGACTCTGTCTCTGGTGTTTTGATAAGGATGGCTTCCATGTAATGTCATCGTCAAATCTCCGTTTACGTGGAACCATTTTGGCTGGTGATGAGGTCTAAACACATGAAGCATTCCTCCCTCTGAACGCGCCATGGAATCGACCACACTAGACCCATTCCGGTAACCATATATAGTAAAGCACAAGTTAGCGCTCCCAGAGACCCAGAGACGGTCTATAATCCTGCAGGGCTTTTTTGTGGGTGATTATCAGGAATTACTTCATTTCATTCAAAGTCCATATTATCGAAATATATGTGCATATACACCCAGACACATCCAGCAATATATATATGTGGACATGTATAGGTTAACCATATACTCATATTTACAATATATATAACTACTATAACTATATGAGCGTACAATTCGCATTTACCAGACCGTGGCCGTTTTCGGCAACTCCCCCGCTCGGGTTTAGCGCCGGTGTGTCGCACACCCGATGCGGTTTAGTGTATACCTGATTGGGATTATCCTGACACGCTATACGCGGGAAACTGCCGTCCGTCTCCGCCTTCACGTCGTCGTCCGCCGACTATATAAGACCGCGGGTGCGTCACTTGACGACCACTTCTTCTCACTTCCTTTGCTTCCCTCGCCAACGCTGCCTCCAGCTCCCCATCATGCGCACCGGATCAGACCGCTCCGATTCCCACCATCTTCACCTATCGGAGATGACCGCACAACAACAAGGACCGCTCCGTCTCCATCTCCTCACCGTCGGCATGCACCTGTGAAACCGTCAGACATCCATTAACCGCCTCCATGGTATGAGCCACTGATATTACTGGCGCGGTATGATCCTGCGGTCATCGCGTTGTGACCCGGAGGAACGCCACTCAGAGTCCTGCTGGCCGGCCCATGGTCGTGTCCAGGTAGGCGGCAGTGCTTGCTCCGAATCGTCCAGCGTCGACGAGCGTTACCTCTGCAAAGCCAGCCGGATCTGAACAGCAATGGCAAAAATGCCGCGTTTTTGCCGCTAATCCTGCCAACAGGCTTTTGGGATTTCCTGTTGCATCACCCAGCCAGGGCCTGGAATTGATGGGCCATTGGGCACGCTTTCTGATTGCCTCAAGTGAGCAACTGATACGCCTGATTGGTTACATTCGAGATTCATTGTGCTGAGCTATTCCGTTGCAATCCTGTGTTGTTTGGGAGCTGTTCATACTGCTAGTAGCCCGACCTGGGCTGACTTTCAAGGGCAATTATGTGCCCGGCGGATCCTGTGTTGTTTGGTTGCGTATCTCTACTGTTGGATTTTTCGCTTATTGATGGGGCTGTACCGAGTTGAGCTTATGATTATATATAACTTATATATAGATGTAAATGGCCGGGTCACTGTTTTTATTCTGGTCGATCAGCATGCAGGTCAATGGATTTTGCGGTCTGTGGGCCGTGTGCCATTATGCCTGAATCTATTGCATGATGTTTGTGCTTTGGGCTATCAAATCCTATCTTTCCGTCTAAGATTATCAACCCTTCGCATACCATCATCACTTCCCTTTCCATTTTCTATCTCTCATTTTCGATTCTCTTAAAGTTTGTTTTAAACAATGAATATCAGCCTTGAGAATATCAACTTCTGCTATCAACCTTCTCCACCTAAACCGCGCTCACATGCCTTTCCTACCTCTCGTTGGAAGCCGTGCCAAGCCCCTTCTGCTCCAGCACGCCTTTCACCCCCGACTAGTCCCATTCCGTCTAAACCATGTGTCCCCACGATGGCAAACATTCCCACCCAGAATGGTACTCCAGGAACCTCCCAACACTCTCAAGACCTGAGGGTCTCCTCCAGTGGGAGTACAACGGCAGTTCGCAATGAATTTGATATTGAGTTTGAGGAGACTTGTCCGGTAGAAAACAGCTTGATAGTGTCTGAGAAGGGCCCAGAGACAAACAACACCCGTGGCCTCCAGGATAAGAATGTCAAGGATGTATTTTCAAGCCAGAACGCGCCCTCAGCAGTTGCTATGCTCGACCTACAGTGGACACGCCTCATAGCTTACTGATTTTGGACACTTAGGTTCAGTGGCAGAGCCGACACAACCTCAGACAAATGACGGTGATGTTCGTGAAATCGTGCATCATGGACTGACTGTCGAAGTGGACGTCACGCAGGAGCAGTCGCATCAGCAGGCGTTTTCATCGATAGAGACCACCAATTATTCAAACTCGGAACTGGTTGGAACAGAGCAGGAATACCCAGGTAGGCAAGGTTCTCCAGGGACTTGTTGCATTTTCCTAATACATGATAGATCCACCAGTGGCCACTAGCCTGGGCTTACCTGAAGGTTATGTTGAGGCTTTAGGAACTAGCCGCCAGAGCAGTGCAAGAATGACACCGCCAATATATAGCAACTCATACACGCACATCTCTCAGTCATCTTCAACGAGCGCCTTGGATAGCACACTGAACGTTGGAGGCGAATCTCGAGCTGAAATATCCAGTTCGAGGAAACAGCTGTCGAGGGATCTAAAGGCGAGGCTGTCTCAAATGTGATGGCTCAACGCCATACAAACACCACCAACATGTCAAACAACGCCATACAAGCAATCTGGGAAAACAAGGGCTTAGGCCACATCGCACAAATGTCTATAAAGACGGTCCGTCGCCTAGATAGACTTCTTTTTCTTCTTCAGATTCGATATTCTCGTTGATAGCTACACTAGTTTAGATTGAATATCATTCCGTTAGTATCTACTAGTCCGAGCCCGTGACAAGGGCAACATCAAATACCCAAGTCATGAACTTTCCAGGCAGCTTCACATAAAAATCTAGTGTCATTGACGGATTTCTGCACAAAATACAGCTTGGTTTACTTGGTCTATGAGTACATGCATCCGGCTATTCCACTAGGCTGCTTAGCAGGGATTGTGGATTTCAGTGACTAGTGAGGCAGTCATAGCTACTGTTTGTAGAGAGATTCTAAATGGTCTTGTTTATATCTGTTTCAAGCTTGGCATATCACACAGCTCAGTTGATCACAGCAATATCCTCCTGAACAGGAAAGGGAAGGTCCAATTGGATAGGCAAGACCTTTCCCTAGATCTTTAGGAGGGACTAACAAAATTTTTTAAGAAATATTGGAGATAATATGTTCAGCAGTGTCACGGGGTGTGAGCGCTCGCTAGCGGATAACATGTTGATTACTTTGGTCTGTTTGGATATAGGGCAGGAACCCCTTCACACACACAAGATAACTCAGCGCTGGCAGTCCCGGCGTCTTTCCTTTCCTTCTTCATGTTAGTATTTCGTCAGATAGCCTACCAATTGTCACGGGCTCGGACTAGAAGATACTGACGAAATGATATCCCTATCTAGCTAGTGTAGCCATTGACGAGAATATCGAATCTGGAGAAGAAAAGAGAAGAGGAATCTATCTACAGGAAGAAAAAGGTTCTCATCCATGAGTTGTATGGCCGTGCTAAGTGCTTTCTTTGTTTGCTTAAGTGGTGGCATCTGTCGATATCAGCCACCGAGGCGTCAAGCTGGCGTTGAGGCTTCGAACCGTCACACTAATAGATTCCTATTGCTCAAGACCGTCACAAGTAGCAACATGCTGAGTGGCTGGAAGTCAGATGTAGCAGCTGTTTGTTTTATTGTGATCTGTCTAAGTGATACAACCGCGTCGATTTCAGGAGTTACTCCAGCAGATATTGTGTTATCAATATGAGACTGTGGGTTCATAGAAGAGTCGAAAACAAAATCAGCTAAAGAACTTCTGAATGTAAGATTTGACCTTCTTTTACAGTCATTTTGAAAATGGTGTTGACCACTTGTAAAAAGGACAAGTTCTGTTATCTAGCAACACCAGGAGGGGCATGGGCCTAAAATGATATTATTTTGATGGACTTCCCTTGAGTCTCCGGTTCGGCAGCCAAGCTCGTGAAAATGACTAAATTCAACTATTTGGAAAGTAATCGGTTCCTAGTTGTATGAAACATCCTATTTATAAAGTAGAATATAAATACAATCAACTGCATATTGTCCGTTCTAGTAGAATGCAAATTCGTCCTTGGTTAAAGGAAACACGCTGAATCAACGACATGAAGGAAGATACAAAGTACATTATCATAAATCAACACAACCACAAGGATTTGGAGACAAACGGGGTTATGAGACCCACCGCTACAGAGGAGCGCCCACAAGGACGACTTTTAGGGGAGCCCAAGGCGACTAAGGCGCTGCTACAATTCTTGGCCAGCACCAATGTAGCTCTACCACGAACACGCCTACAGCGAAGGGTGGAGAGGGCCCAAAGAGATGATGAATGGGGACTGAAAACACTGGAGGAGGCGATTAGAACAGGAGAAGGGTAGCAGGGAGGGTAGCCTAAGCTGAATTCCAGCTCAGGCCACACCCACCCGGCTCTGAAACACAAGGAGAGCATTTTGCTCGAAAGCCCTGCGCATACAGGCGGTTTGGGGCGAGGAAAAGGATCAGAAAGAGTATAGAAGGAGGCTAGTGCCTCAGGAACTTATAGGGATAAGAGACTGTAGAATGGCTATCGGCCTCAAGTCCACGAATAAGGGTCTGTCATAGCTCTGGGGCTCGGTATGGACAATAAACTTGATTAAATAATAATAATAATAATCAACACAACCATAATCCATCCTGAACTACCTGCTCTGTTCACAATTCGTCTTTTTTCTGCTTGCATTTGAGGTCCTGGTCCTCATGTTTTGATTTTGCGGCTGCTCGTGCTTCGATTTCACCCATAGATCGGCGAGTGAGTGGAGCCGTTGGTGCCTGCTGAATACGGAAGTGCTGAAGCATGGCCTCGCAAGAAAGGTTGTTATTGTCCTCTCCACAAGCCAGGTGGAATTTGGCAATATGTTCGCCTGGCATCAATCCAAAGACAGACATGTAGGTCTTCGGGCTGTTTAGCCACCAGCATTCCGTTTCTTTCCGCTCGGCAACTTCAGAGGTCCTGGTCCCCGTTGCCTTCTCATAATAATATAAGACGCCGTCCTCAGCATGAGGTTTGTATTTCTTCTGTCCCGCCGCTGTGGCCCAGCCGGGTGCATTTGGCTTCAAGCTGTTGGACTCTTCAAAAACCTTGTCCTCTGGCTTGCACTCTTGCCTGAGCTGTTGCCTCTTTGCTCTCCACTCTCTTGCCTTTTTGATATCCCCATCTAGCTCCTCCACGTACTTTCCATGGGGAATGGTCGAGAAAAAAATCCCGTCTTGATCATCATACATGGCAGCGACGAGATTGGTTTTGAAATATCCTGATGTCCCGGAGAAATATCCATATCCCGCAAGAGCGACTTCCTTCACGGCATTGATAATTTCCTGGGTGTCTGCCTTGTTTCTGTATTCAGGGAACCGGCCCCAGGCAGTCTGTTTGTCCGATGAATATAATAATACACGCGCTTTACTTTCGAAGTTCGCGGCTTTGAGACCGAGTACTTTGGTATCTTCGGTTACACCCTTCGTCGGTGCACTGAGCACCAACTGGGTCAAGGCCGCCAGCCCTAAAAAGATCGATAGGAGAAGTCTGAAGGGATGATGCAGCATGGCTACAATGATATAGTCTGATTGAATATGAAATATGGACGAAATTTAGTAGGAAATGGTAATAAGATTGAATTGTTATAGTTATGTGAAAATGAATCGAGGGTATCATGAGAAACCAGGCCTATTTATGTTCTCAATGGCAATCCCATTTTGCTCCTCTCGTCCGCCTCGCAGCCATGCCAGGCTGATTACAGCACCCAAAAACAAATCTGATGGTGAGCTACATTCCTGGGGGCTATGGTAGGCGAGCCCGGGGTTAACCTTGCAAGTGTCAGACAGTCAGCCTTACCAGTGCCGCCCCCACGGGCCATAAGTTCCAGTACGTAAATTACAAGAAAGTGTAGTGGCTATGTCTCCTACCGCCCTCTGTATTACCACGGCAGAACAAAAGCGGAGGATTATTTTCCTGCACAAGGATAAACCATCTTTGAAGCGGGGTCTCTCGGATCGTAGCTCAAAGGGGAAATCGGGAGTCGATTTATTCCGGACTAACGAGGTCTATATGGAGAGGACTAGTTTAACGGAAGAGGTATATTGCCTATCGAACGTATGTGCGCATACGCAGCTGATTGAGTGCTTAATCTACAATATGTGTGCACACGTCGACTATAAGAATCCTGACCTCGCTACTCGGGTCAACCATTTATCCGATCGATCCTTATCATCAGTATCTCAGGCGACCCACAACGATCACACGTGATCAAAAATTGAGCTAACCCGATTGGGATGATGCTTATTCATCCCTTTTTGTGTGCCTCCAGGTTCAGGAATTCTATTTCTGGTTTAGCCTGGATCACGTGGGCCCCACGTGACGGCATCTACGGTCTGAGATACTTGATGAGGATCGATCGGATAAATAGTTGGCCCGAGTAGCGAGGTCAGGAGTTTCTTATATGTTAGTCAACATGTGCACACATATAGTAGATTAAGCACTCAATCAGCTGCGTATACGCACCTACGTTCGATAGACAATATACCTTCGTCCAGCTAGTCCTCTCCATATAGACCTCGTTAGTCCGGAATAAATCGACTCCCGATTCCCCCTCTGAGCTACGATCCGAGAGACCCCGCTTCAATACTGAGATAATTGGGTGGCCCGCTCGCTTGTGGATTACGTTATTTCAAGTCAGCAAATCATCTGGGATCTGCTGCAATTGCGGTCTTCCCACAGGTATGGTCTAATCATTCTAGGGCCGTGCTAACAGTAAATGATGTTTTGAGCTGCCGTGATGCATTGCGAATCAGATGGTTCTCCAGTGTTTTCGTTGCAGCCATCTTTGTACCCTTCGTTGCCCCTCAGCCAAGCCTCGTCGTTCGCGACCATATTTCGAGCAAGATGGATGCGAAGCTACAGTAGAAGTGATTAAGCCATACTCGCGATAATACATTTGATTCTGCAAGGCCTAGTACAACAATTGTAAATTTTGTCTAAAATCTATTCAGTCCATCCCACGGGCTTCCAGCTGTAATATGAGATATGCTCACGAAAAATAGTCAATGATATCGAATGTATCAGCATCAACAGTAGTAAAAAGTATTCCATCCCGCAGCATCCCCTCAATAGCAGACTCAACCTCTGCAGTAGGAAGCCCTAAGCTGTTTTTAATGGCGTCAACATGCACTCCATCCTGGGTTGGTGGCTCGAGCAGTAAGTCAAATATCATGTGCTGGGTTCTATCCAAGACTCTCCTTGGAAATTCTCCTCTACCCTCAACATAAACCGGTTTGTTGTATGTCAGAGAGATATCATAAGAAGCTGCCACTGCAGAAACCTCCTCCACAAGATCAGCTGACCACAGCTCCAATAGGATACTATCCTCTGCAATTGTCTCGGGGCCGAATCGGAGAAATATCTGTCTCAGGCAGGTTTTTGACTGCCCTGACTTCTGGGTAATGATGAAGTGTTCTAGAAAATTGGCTTTGTGGTTGCTGAAATCTTCAGGGTCTACTGATCCCCCGACACTTCTTGAGAATGGCTCATGTTTGGTGAAGTCAATGGTGAGTCGCTGAAGACAAGGAGCTTCTAGTTTGGAGGATGCATCAAAAGGTGTTGTATTAAAGAAAGAGGATGCATGAAGATGCAATTCAGATATGTTGTGAAATGCACTCAGGTTTGGTAGTCCGTTTCCAGGGATAGGCGGGAGCTCAATTCTTTCAAGGGAATCACAGTGTAGATTCAGTAGGCTCTCAATCACAGGAGCGGGGTAGCTTTCAGCATAGAGTGTATCATGAATAAACAAAAATGTCACTCTCTTGAGGTGAGCTGGCCAGAGAAATAGGAGATCTGCCACATCTGGCTCTGCAGCAGGCACTGGTAGAACTAATGACTTGAGGTTCTGATGGCAGCCAACAGGTAGCAATTGCTCACACTTATCAGGATGATTGAGTTGCTGATACTCAACAATATGCTCCTCTGCTAAGTAGACCCAATTTTGATCAAATTTCAGGCTTCTTAGCAGATCCAGCATATCGTCACTCCAAGTGACTTGGCTCAGGTGAATGTGTTGTAGTGTAGGCAAGTTGAAATACTTCCATATTGTTCTCAAGCCAATTCCAAATTTGACACCACTCAGGTCAAGAGAGGTCAGTGGGAGTCCAGCAATTGTCTCAGATAGTGCTTGATCAAAAGAGAGGATTTCAGTCGTTAAGGCCAATTGATTGATAACACTACCCTTTCTTGTTGCTTCTTTGATAAGTGAAATGCAGTATCCCCGCTCAGAGTCACCTTGCACATTTAAAGATAAAGAATGGAGGTATTTCCAGCGATGTGGTCTGCGGTCCATTTGTTTTAGACATCGCTCCAGTCTCAAAGAACCATGATCCTCGTTTTGAGATGGGAGAGTGAGATGGGAGTAGATGAACATGTCGACCACATTTCTCCACTGTAGGCAGACTAATCTAAGCGGTCGCCATTGTGCATCAAAATCACCAATCCCTTGATCAGAGGTCGTCAGGAGGAATGAAAAGATATGAAAGAGGATTTCAGTTGGGAGTTTCGATATTGTTTCATTGGCTGAAATGATTGTGTGCGACATTTTATGCATGGCTACCCTGTGTACCTTGCACTCAATGAGAGGAGGAGAAACAAAAGAAGGTCAAGAAGATTGACTATACCAAGTCTATGTTTATCCTATGTGTTGAATATTAAACCCCCTCGTCCGGTGAAGATTGATAAGGATTAATCGGATAAATGGTTGGCCCGAGCAGCGAGGCCAGGAGATTCTTATAGTCGACGTGTGCGCACATATTGTAGATTAAGCACTCAATCAGCTACGTATACGCACCTACGTTCGATAGACAATACATCTCTACCTTCGCCTAGTTCTCTCCATATAGACCTCGTTTAGTCCGGAATAATCGACTCCCGATTTCCCTTTTGAGCTACGATCCGAGAGACCCCGCTTCAACTGAGGTAAGCATGACCAGGTTCGGGGCGCGCCCGAGCTTTTGAACGAGGGCGGCTCACCTGTAACCTGTCTTATATTCATATGTCCATTGAGGTGTGCGAACCCTTTCGGTGATTTCCCGCCCAAAATCTCTTCCTACTGGCTGGTCCGTCCCTACCCCCAGTCCGTTCCTACTCTCCAGTCTATCCCTACTCCTTAGTCCGTCCCTACTCTCTGGTCCGTTCCTACTCTCCGGTCCATCCCTACCCTCTAGTCCGCTCCTACTAACTGGTCTGCTTCTACTCTCTAGTCTGTCCGTACTACCCGGTCCGTCCCTAGTCCCCAGTCTGTTCCTACCTTCCAGTCCGTCCCTACTCTCCTATCGGTAATTTTAGAGCGACGAAACATAAGGGATAAGTTCCCATTAACCTATTAGTTACATTTGCCGCGCCATGATGAAATTTAATTATCTTCACAAACTCGGCTGCCAAATCGGAGGCTCAAAGGAAGTGCATCAAAATAATGTCGCTTTAGGCTTCAGCCCCTCCTGGTGTTGCTGGATACAATAATTCATCCTTACAAGTTAACACCTTTCTCAAAATTGACTGTAAAAAGAAGGGACAATCTTACATTCAAAAGTTCTTTAGCTGACTCCGTTTTTGACTTTTCTATGAAACCACAAGCTGGACTTGATAGCGCAGTCTTCAAAGGAGCGACTGTTGAAATCAAGGCAGTTTTGTCACTGAGACAAATGACAAGGAAACCAACGGCTGCTAAATCTGACTTCCAGTTGCTCAGCATGTTGCTGTTTAATGTACTGTCCCCAACATTTGCTAGAGTTATCGTTAACCGTTTACTGAAATCTAGGGCAAGGTCTTGCCTACCCAATTGTATCTCTCCTTTCTCGTTTAGGAGGGCATTGCTGCAGTCAACTGAACCGTGTGATATGCCGAGTTTGGAAGTGAATAAAATGAGACCATCTAGAATCTCCCTGCACACAGTGGCTATATCCGCCTCATTGAAATCCACAATCCCTGTTAAGCCGCCTAGTGGAATAGCCAGATGCACATACTCATAGACCAAATCAAGCTGGATGTGACGGTTCCGTTCAATATGAAGTTTATTGGTGAACTATCTGGCGAAATACTAGCATGGGGAAAGAAGAAAAGAACACTGTGCCTGCCAGCGTCGAACTATTTAATGTGCGAGGGGCTCTGGCCCTAAAACAGAACAAAGAAATCAACACAAAGGAATCAAACATGTCATGTGACTTAGCGAGCGCTCATGCTCCGTGACACTGGATTCTGTGTAGAAGTCTATCAATGACACTAGATTTTTGTGCGAAGCTTCTTGGAAAGTCCATGACAAAGGTATTTGGCGTTTCTTTATCAGAAAAGCAGGAAATCCTTCAACATCCTTTAGAGCAATCATCCCATATCCTTCTTGATTAACATTATATGACTTGTGGTACCTGGCCTTTGGTTGTCCCTTGTCACAGGCTGCGCCTGTAGAATAAACGATATGCTAGTCGGAGGAATGATCGGAGTGGTTACTTGACTACTACCCCGCATAACGTACTTTTGTATATAAAAGGCTGTCTGATCGGACATCCGTTCTTCTCTTCTTCAACGAAACCTCTTGTATGATAGCTAGTTATTAGCGCTGCGGGCTTAGCCCTTAACATCCCTTCACAGTTGAAAGAGGGGAGGGGGGCGTTTCTGTGAGCTTTTATTTGAATTCCAAAGCGATATGAGCGATCGATGAGTGCCTGGGACCTTGTCGCATTATCTCGCCCGGTATGAAATTTACCACTGCTCTTTTGTTGAACAGGATAATCAGCCCATAATGGTTCTGGCAATACTGTTTGACGTTTGGAACTTTCCCCCATCACCTCAAGAGCTAAGCGCCCTTCATGTCAGGAATATCTGCACTTCAGGGAGTGAAAGGAAAACTAAGAAAGAGGCAAGATATATGAAATGGTCCAAATGGGTTCCAGGCTCTTTCAACAGTTGGTGTAAGGGGCTAAGCCCGAAAGCTACTATTTAGCTATATACAAAAAGGATTCGATGGGGAAAGGAAGAAAGAAGAAGGAGAGAGGGAGGAGCTTGTATATGAAGGCTCGCGTAAATGTATGCCCGACGCGTCGGGGGCATCCTGAAAGGAGCGGGTAAGCTCAGGATTGGGAATCAGGGAGTCGATAATCCGGACTGCACGAGGCTATATGACAGAGTCTTATGTAGTTTAGCGGCTGTGCTCTGTGGTATGCACACCGAGTGGACTCCCAGGCGAGGGATTTTGCTGAGGTTCTACCCCAAAACTGGGATCGCGGGTTGGATTCCCGCCGACATGACATTCACCACAAGACGCTTGAACTTTAGTAGCTCTGTTGTCTAGCATGGTCCTCAGACTCCTAGTTCCCCGCACAACCAGCTTGAGCTGGCAAAGAATGCTACGAAAAATGAAGAGCGTATCAAAATTTGCAGATCCTCCAGCTACAGTAATGGTTATGCTAGCGCTAGAGGAATGCCCTGTGATGAGTACTGCCCAAATGCCCTGCGCAAATTGTGACGGTCCCGTTCAATATGAGATCTATTGGTGGACTATCTGGCGAAATACTAGCATGAGGAAGGAAACAAAAGAGCGCTGGGCCTGCCAGCGCTGAAATATCTAGTGTGTGAGGGACCTGGCCCTACTCCAAACAGAACAAAGGAATCAAACATGCCATGTGACTTAGCGAACACCCATGCTCCGTGACACAAATAGGCGGATTGGGGCGAGGAAAAGGAAACTGAACGATCAAAGATGTATTTAGAAACTAAGTAGGAGCTTGTGCTCATGAACCGCACTGTCTTTCATAGCCAATGGGGCTCGATAAGGACAATAAATTCGATTACTACTACTACTACTATCGGCTATGCGAGGTTATCGGCTACGTGGGAATCGTCTTGGCGAGGTTTGACTGTAGATGGATACAACTATCATCGAGTAAAAAAATACATATTCCAATGGTTTCTGTCGAAACATGTGCTAATCAGACACTGGGTGGCTACCTTCTGCTTAACTTTGGGTGCATTTCTCAAAAAACTGCAAAACACGATCAAATCCCTCCGGCTCCTTGATCCAGTGACCGTCTCCCTCCGCTCCCATGAACTCGCTCCACTCAACATGGTCCATAATCTGCCGCACGACGCGAAATGCCTGTCGACCCAGTTCTACAGAGACCCACGGATCATCCGTTCCGTGGCTCAGAAACACAGGTGTCGACAGAATTGATGCATTGTTCACCACATCCGCTGGCGAGGTTTTGGGATAGGCGATTGTATCGTGGAAAAAATCCAACAACTGACACTGCTGGATCTCAGTTTTCTCACCAGACGTACTGGAACTGTTGGCTGTCTCCAACTCTTCCACCTGCCGGGCGAATGGAAACCAGCCACAGAAACCCACAAAACCCCCAAGCTGACTGTGTACCCGACGCGTAGCACAAAACAATGCCCACAAAGCCGTTGCCATTCCTTGGCTGATTCCTCCAAGGTAAACACGGTTCGATTGTCCGCCGAGTAGTCTGATCTCATTTTCCAGTAAATCTAAAACGTGCGAAATAGACTCTCTCAGGCCGTCGATTTGTAGGTCTTGTCGTGCATGTATATCAGTCAAGGAGTATGCATCGAACCAGGAGCATTCTTCTTCCTGGAATGTGGTGCTCCATCTATCTCGCGAGGTTGGAAAAACCCAACGCCAGGTGGGAAGGCAAGAGGCCAGGTTTTGCTTTCTGGATGTCACTGAAGAGAAAAGCTCTTCTGCGAACTCGGGACCATTGCTTCCCCTGCCATGGAGCAGAATGGCCGTGTGGGTGTGTGAGATTTGAGGGGGGACGATGTGAGGGTTGGGAAATTCCATATCTTTGATGTATATTTTTCAATGATTGTCTTGTTGAATGTTGTGGTTTAAATAATTTTTTTTTCTTCTGCGCTCACGCCTTTCCCAAGGGGACAAGTTCGATATCCAACCATTCAAAAGGAAAGAGGATCGAGATGGGCCGGGATTTGATCCCCAGAGGCGCGTCAGTGGTGGTGGATGATGTGCTTGCCACAGGGGCCAGCGCTTCGTGGACAAGCCCACTCATGACTCTTATTGGCCATTACGGCAATCTTCTTAAACGATGGTCGAAATCAATTTCAAACTTGGAACCTGACCTAAAGATATTCTGTACTTTTGACTGGAGAATTATAGGCGAATCGCCGGCACCAGTAAGGTTCTTCTTGCCGCCCAGCTCCTGAGAAAAGTTGACATCCCCATAACCAATCATTTTTAGCGCTCTTGCATCATTTGCTAGATTCAGATCCCATAATGTCCAGTGACCTAAGTGACTTCTGCGCGCGCCTTCCTATGGAAATGAAGAGAAGGATCGCCGGTTTGGAAGTGACATGTCCCCTCGAAGCAGGAGCGATGAAGCCTATTTAAAACCTGCCATACGAAATTCCCCTACAACTCCCGTTTAACTATATTTCCTCTACAAATTTGGTATTCAAGTCATTATTCTATTGTCCGAGATCTTTGTTCAATCCCCGCCCTTGTCATATAAAGGCGACTTGTTTCTTTTGCTCGTCTATTGCACCTTCAGTGATTTGTGTCGATTGAACTTCTCAAGTGAGGCTGTTGATACATATTGGGAATTTGTGCCAATTTGCTAATATGGTCTTATAGAATAGCCGAAATGACTACCGTTTGGGTCGCGATCTACAACCCGACTGACAAGCGAGACCCTTGTCACTGGGCGCTCTGGCTGAAAACATCTGATGATCAATCTGTGATCCTCCAGGTTGGAGATGAGAAGAACGGTCGCGGCTATTACGTGGAGGATCCTATTTACAAGGAACCTATGAGATCCGCCAGATTGGCCGAAGTTATTGATTGCGGGACCATCCCCTCGAGCAAGCACAACCAGGCGGTTTTGCTGATCCAGGCTCATCCAGTGGACAATCAGAGTACGACCTGGAACTGTCAGGCCTGGGTCATAGAGAATCTGGAGAATCTGGAGCAGCATGGTTTGCTGCAAGTTTCTCCAACTGTCAAAGCAAGCCTGCAAGCCAAGAGACAGAACTGGCAGTGAAAACAAGTCATGTCTTTCTTTTTTATACGCAATGGAGAGATACTGTACTAAGAGATTTCGCCATTTAAGATTCATGTTAGAGCAGGACCTTGAATTGCGTTCTTGAAAAATTGCTTTGTTAATGCAGTGCATTCCAATAAATTCTTCCAATTCACTCTTTACTAGAAGCCTCCCTGGAAAACCGCTGTTTCTCTGGTGAATTGACATAGTCACGGCGCTCTGCTAGGATAATGAAACTTCCAACTCATGGGTTCTTCCTAGGTAGCTATCGACAAGAATAATCAGCATGAGGAAGGAAGAAAGGAGGTAACGCCATATTTATCAACAAAGCAACAAAGCAAACAACCACACCTCACGTGATAACCAACCAACGTGACCAGGCCGTCACAACATATTCATACCAGCTCAACCATGCCATCTGCTGAGCATTACATCAACTGCATGTTCCTTAGGCCATACACCAATGTTATCCGGCAAGTAACTCCACCAATCACCGAAATCACCTCCAATAGTGATGGTGTTCAGCGCTTTCACATACTCCCAGTACTCCGGATACCAGCCGCACATTTCCCAGTCAAGAATACCTGTGACTGTCACTTGAGAATTTGATAGATCGCTCGTCCCAGTTGTTGTGTCGAGTGCTTTTTGAAAGGACGCCTCACCTCCATCTCGGTCGGAGGATCGCGGATTGATGGTTACCATGATGTTTCGAGGATGGAGATCACCATGGGTCATCACAATCTTATGGTTGGTGTCAAGGTAAGATTTTATCATGGCTATTCCATCACACTCGGACCGTGTTGAATTTGAAACAAGGAATTGATTGAATTCGATTTCATTACTTATAGGTCCTGTTGCAATGCGAACTTGTCTTCGCGTGTCTTTACACCGACGAGGGTTGCCGCCACCAAGCACTGCATTGGCCTCTTCAGCTGGTGGAGCGGGAATGGACCTGAAGTTCTTGACAATAGCTCCCAGCTGCACTTTTATTGAGGTTTTCTGGTCTGTGTTCAAAAGTCTCCATTTGCTGTCCAAAGGCTCGCCAGGGAGTCGCGACATGAACAGGAAGATGCGCTTGCTGTCTGATTGTTGGAGAATGCCATGGATCTCCGGGATTGGAGTATCCGGCGCCTGCTGCTTAATATAATCCAGAGTGTGTATGTGATTGATATCGATGTCATACCCAACTTTCACAATGAGTTCTGAGTTGAGGCCCAACACCGCGGTTGATCCTAGGTGCCAGACGATCTCACAGGAAGCTAGTAGCCTGTTGAGTCCCCCAATAATGGCGGATGAATCTGGATCGGTTTGACCAGAAAATGAACCTGTCTGTACTGCTTGGAGCACAGTCTTTTTTAACGGTTGAACAACCTTCACATCTGCTGGGATTTGGAAACAATCCCTTACATCGGGAGAATCCACCGTCGGTTCAGTGTGTGAAGCATCTGATGCAGAGATTGCTGATTGCACAGCTTCATCACCGAATGCTTTCCGTAAAGCAGAGTATGTTTTGCGTTTTTGTTCTAGTAGAGCGGTCATATCCATTGATGGATACGCCTTAAATTTCGCGCTTATATCATTGAAAAGAAGTGCATTTACCTTGGCGAAGGCATCTTCTTGCGCACTCTTCAGATGATCTGTCTCTTTCGAATTCGGTAATTTTTGTGTAAACATGATGGAGAATAAGTTCAACTGACTGTTTCAAAGGTTTAATCGAAATAAGGGAGGGTGAAGAAGAGAAAGCGGCGAAAGCGATGAGACGGTGAAAAATGACGTCCTTAAATGGCAGGCGGTACTGATTACTGAACGGAGAAGGATGGGAAAGCCCACAGTGACAAGGAGTCGGGGTCGGGGGTGTCGTCAAGACCAGATTTGGCCGTGGTGAAAGGTTTTAGTGGGCAAACGTAGTTGATTGGATGGGTGGTCTATCGGCTCAGCTAACAATATAACTACCGGGCAGAAAGCGAGGGCGGTGAGGCACGTGACCCGCTGGGTACTGATAAGGATCGATCGGATAAATGGTTGACCCGAGTAGCGAGGTCAGGATTCTTATAGTCGACGTGTGCACACATATTGTAGATTAAGCACTCAATCAGCTGCGTATGCGCACATACGTTCGATAGGCAATATACCTCTTCCGTTAAACTAGTCCTCTCCATATAGACCTCGTTAGTCCGGAATAAATCGACTCCCGATTTCCCCTTTGAGCTACGATCCGAGAGACCCCGCTTCAGGTACTAACTGATGGAAGCTGAATAAGGATCGGTTGGATAAACTCCCAGCGAGTACGCTGGGTAATTGCTTTCGTCAAGCAGTTAGGACGATGGATTTCTACCTTCTCGTGGTGTCCGGTGTCAGTACCCTCTCATTTTGGGGAGGGGAAGCCGAAAGAATCCAAAGTGGTGCGGGCGGCTGCCGACATGCAGAATTTTCACCTGCTTGAACAGCAGCCACCCAACCCACACCATCAGAGGATAACGGGTTATGAAAACCATCCGACGACTGTCTACTCGATTCGTACTCGAGACCGGAGCTGGGCTTGTTTTTCCAGCGGATGTGGTATCGCCTAGACAGGAGACAGGACATCTCTGGGCTGTCACAACCTGGCTTCTCTCGTATCGTACCTAGGGTTCTAGTTAGTTGTATTTCGAGACTGGACACTTACTCTAAGTGTCTCCTAAGATATCGTATGCTCAATGCCCCTCCGGGTCCGGTTCGATAAGTCGTATGCGTTGATGGGTATATCGCCCCCTCCAGGCTCCGTAAGATAACCAACAGGTAGAAACGGTAAAGGTAACGAATAGAGAAACAAGGCCAACCGAGTACGTATACTGGGTTGTTGGTTAAGTGCGGACGAGTCAGAAACTAGAAGGTAACCAATGCTTGATTAACTAGATTGATCGCGAAGAACTAAACTAAGTACATGAATGAACGTCCTTATATATCATCTCCTTCTCATGGTATGATGTTCCCGTAGTATACTGGTATACCTATACCAGACTGATGGTATAACATCCGTCTTGTATATTAGTATACTTCCTGCATATCACGTGAAGCACGTGATCGTCAACTGCTAACACGCCGAATATCAATTTGATCCCTGTTCCTTCTTGCATATTCTCCATGAGCTGTTATCCAATGAGCCTGTCTTAACTCTGTATCATCACGTGAGGCTGATACAGCGAGTTCTGTAACAGGTGCACTGGCGATGCTTTGCACAATTCTGGGCAGAGAAGGGCCCCAAACGATACAAGGACCTTGGTATAGGAATAGAGAAGCGGCCACCAGAGCTCCATCTTCCCCGAGCAGCTCTAGGTCGCCTCCTAGCTGCCAGGAGCGGCCATGGCGACTTTGCAGAGTACCATGAGCGCTTTAAACACGATGATGCCTTGCTGACATGCTCATGTGGCCGCAGAAAGGAGCCCTCCCACTTCTATTTCTGCCGAGAGGGCCGTCGTATGTCCCGAACCGGGACCAGGATCTTTCCGTGGAAAAATCCGCCCCTCGACGTTAAATAGAGTGTTACAGACCTTGTCGTGTCAGACTCACGTGATGACGCGGGGAGTTAAGAAAGAATTATTGGATGATGGTTGATGATGGATATGCAGGAAGCGACAGGGATCAAGTTGATATCCGAACAGGTCACGTGACATGGTATATGGTATACGGCGTGGTATACAGGATGGTATATGGTATATGGTATATGGTATACACCGTGGCACATGAATTGGTATACGGACCAAAAGATATATAAGGACGCTCATCCATGTACTTAGCTTAGTTCTTCGCGATCAATTTCAAGTCTTACAGCATTGGTTACCTTCTAGTTTCTGACTCGTCCGCACTTAACCAACAACCCAGTATACGTACTCGGTTGGCCTTGTTTCTCTATTCGTTACCTTTACTGTTTCTACTTGTTGATTATCTTACGGAGCCTGGAGGGGGCGATATACCCATCAACACATACGACATACCGAACCGGACCCGGAGGGGCATTGAGCATACGATTACTTGGGAGACACTTAGGGTAAGTGTCCAGTCTCGAAATACAACTAACTAGAACCCTAGGTACGATACAAGAGAAGCCAGGTTGTGACATAGAGACACACACACACTACTACTACTACCACCATAAAGCCTACATACAAACTTTCAACAGTCTGTGGTCGGCTGACAAGCACACTCCATCAGCTGGATATCCCAAAAACCTATTAGTTCAATCCCATAATGATCATAGAGCGCATTTGAATCATTCCTGACGTCAAATAATACCTTTAGGATCTGTGGTGACCAAGATGCCTTTCAAGCTCTTGCCAAGCTTGCCGATGGTAGAAAAGGCTGTGCTTCCAAGCATATGTATGTTGACTATATAGGGTGCTCAGGTCCTTTTCCAGGATAAACGAGCACAGTCAAGAGAGACATTTTTCTGTCACAACTGAGGCACTCACCCTCAATATCGATCTAGAGTGGGGGTTGCAGGTCTCCCATCCAAGTATCTTGACGTGCCACCCGGTCAACGAGAGCACTAATCCCATCTGGGGTGTTGATGAAAACAGTACCTTTAACCATGTTTTGGCATAGTAGTAGTAGTAGTAGTAGTAGTAGTAGTTGTTGTTGTTGTTGTATTCATACGCCGACCCCTCGCCGAACCGATATGCGGGCTACCACAGCTCTATCTATCCTTGTATCTCTAGTCACAGTGTTCCACTGCATCCCGACGAATTTGGTGCCTCGTCAAGGCCTGTGGTGGCCTATGTGCCCGGTGCTCTGTTCTGCGGCCCCTGTGGACCACGGCTTTGAAACCTTTGAGATGCTTCTGCAAAATCCAAGACAGCACTAATTGTGCTCTCCTGGGCAGAGCTGCTTAACCTACCTTCCTTACCTTCTGGTCCGCCTCCCCCCAGCATGCATGATACATGGTTAAATGCCTCCCCAACCTTCCTCCGCAATTCCTGGCGCAGCTCTCAGCCTCGGGCAGTCCACTAGGACGTGGACTACTGTTTCTTTTGCGCCGCACTCGCATCTATCATCCTCTCGATGCCGATGCAGCTTTCCGTGTGTTGCTAACCAGGAGTGGCCGGTGCGTAGCTGTGTAAGCAAATACGCCCGGTTCCGTGGCAGCGACCCATACATCCGTCTGGTGTGGATAGAAGGCAGTCCGGTGTCTATCTGGCGGAGGTGTCCCCCTTTGTCGGAAGCTTTCCATTCCTGTTCCCATTGCTTAAGTATCCGGTCTCTGATGAGTCTTTTTCCGCATGAAAGAGGCGACGAAAGGGGTGCATCCCCCTTAAGCCAACCGTGTCTTTGGCTGGCTGGTCTGCTGCATCATTCCCAGGATTGTTGCAATGTCCGGGGGCCCATTGGAGACGAAGGGGGGGTGTTTTGGCATAGTAGTTCCCAAAATCAGCTTGCCCCCGAACACTCTTGGTTTGTTTCTCAGATCGTTGTTTTGACTGTAAAGGAGTTGTATTGTATGTTGATTGATCATGGGCCTCCTGAACCAAGAGACCCCTTTTATATACAGTATTTGATGCCCTGCTACTTGTTAGACCAGAAAGCCCAGCAGATACAGCTGTTGTTACTTACCCTCCGCACTTTTGAGCCATCCTCATCATCAATTTTGGTATTGGTTAACTTCTGATAATATCCTCAAAGGTTCCTCCAATCTGTCTCTAATGAGCTGGACTTGTTGATGCCTTTCAATCATCGGCCCTCTTTTCCTCGCTGGAGTTTAAGACACCAGCCTAAGAAATGGTACATGTCATTGTTTGATGCCTGGCGCAGTGCCTCCTCAGGTTCCTGCCATTTTGGAATCTCAAGCTCCAAACGTGTTCTGCTGTCACAGTACCTATAACTTCATCAGCAGAGGCTGACTAAGATGCAGCACCACTAGAATAACAGACCATTTCCAGCGGGTTTCAATCTGCTCTCACTGCAAGAATGTTCCTTCTGCCTTATCAAAATCTTCGGGAATCTTGAACAGGCCGATCCCAGTATCATCAAGCGGGTTGTCATAGAATTCTCCCACATCATCAAGTTCTCCTGAATCCAAAGCGGGGTGGCTTTCATCCGCCCAAAAACATTTTCGTGGGCTCAGGGTATCGTCCGGCTCCGTCAAATCTGTCTCATAAGTAGTGTCACGCTGTTCATCTGAGTCGGTACCACTACTTGTGATGTTATCCATGCCACAGTTACTTCCCAGATGTACATTCAGTTGGGACCGTGGGCGTTTCATCGCTTGGATTCAACGGAATTAGATAACGAACGAACACCGGTTTTGTATGGAGAGGGAGGGAGTGGAAAGCAAGACGAAGACACAGCAAAGCTAGAGAGCAAGTATAAAGCAGTGAGCAAGCTTCTTCTTGTTCATGCAGTAATGTGAAAACTGGTATATGGAAAAAGAAACTCGTAAATACAGGAACCCAGAATGATAATATAAATGGGAGATAGGAAGATGGCAAGATGACTGGAAAATTGAGGGACAAACATAGGAAGAAGCCACAATAAAAGAGTGGGCGCCATGGCGGCCTGGGCTCTAATACAGTGCCATGAGGCCATTTTCGGTGCCGTCACGGAACGGCGACTGCAGCCATGATGGTGAAGCAAAAGGTGAGCCTTTGTTGAAAGACTGAGAAGGATGGGAACGCCCGCAGTGGGGGCCCTGAAACAAGGAGTCGGGGTTGGGGTGCGTGGTCGTAAACACACATGGCCGTGGCGAAAGACATGGGTCACGTGTTACCAAATGACAGCCGAAAATGGCGTCGTCTGAGGCCGAAAATGGCAGCCATTTGGTAAACACAAATTGTCAGAGTGTAATTATAAGATTTACAACTTACAACAAACCCAATAAAAATGCGAAAGCAACACATTTATAAATGTGGATGTGGTTTTGATTGCATGTACTGTCGCGAAAATATATTTCGAGTATAAAGTACATATATAGAATGACCACATTATCTGGGCCTTGACATGTAACCTTACGACTTACATATACGTATAGTATTAGATACTGTTGAGGTTAAGCCTTTATCTTTTTGGAAAGAGCATCAGCATCACTTTCCTGCGCTTGCAGCTCTAGTGCGAGATGTTCTTTCAGTGCCAGCAACAGGAGCTGGTGTTGAACGGCTATTCAACAGTGCTCGCGATATCTGCCATTATCGCCGAGGACGATTGAACGCGACAACAATCCAGGAACTTATGATATTCCACTGTACCTCGAAGTTTGATACTGAAGAAGATGAGACTGTATCTGTCAAAGAATTCCTCTCTCATAATGATATTGAAGTAGAAAAGGAGGCAAAGGAGGATGACCAAGGAAGAGGAGAAGAAGGGGAGGAAGAAGGAGAAGATGATGAAATTGAGTCTACTGAGCCTATGCTGCCTGCACCTGAAGGAAACACTCCGGTACGTGCATCAGTGAGAGCCCGGAAGCGTACAAGACGCGAGGATGATGAGTTTGCGTATTATTAGTGTTATTTTCTTGTTTTTTTAATACATCCTTTGTTATAAAACTGAATGTCTCCGTCTTTAATATAACATCATAATCTAGTGAATCTAGATTGAGATTCATTTAATCATAAATTTTGCGGATAGCCAGAAGATATAGAATATAGATGTACGGTAATATAAAAATAAAAAAAAAAAATACTTAAAAATACCGACGAAGTATGCATAAATTATGCAGTCATGAGTTTACTCGTGTTTGTATTGTTTGTACCTAACTTTGGCGTTAATATGATGAACAAATGATATTCTATCAGAAAATCCTGGCCACCTGTTGACCACCCGTCATCTCACATCCACATACATATGGTATAGGTTCATGTATACGTTCAATCATTCCGCTGCCTTCTCCTAAGAGGTAATCCAGTTGATATTGAGCTCATGCTGAAGCGCATCACACGACGGGTCAATGGTGGCTGCTCCAGTCGATCCGTATGGACGCTTGAGACCGACCCTTTGATCCTCGGTGTTGTACTTACCCCAAACGGCACCCTTTGCGCCTGTGGGGAGATTGATGGGCGATTCCGGTTTGGCTTTCCTATTCTCTTTGTATAGCTTCACAGCTGTTATTGCTAGGAAATCCTCCACGTGCAGCAGATCCAAGGTGATCAGCCCCTGCTGTTTTCTGCTGACCCGCTGTTGCTAATTTCTGTACCATTTCGGATACCACTTCTTCCCTTCATCCACCACCTACCCGGCCAGTTGTTCCTCATTTTGCGCTCTGGGATAGACTGGGCGTGGCTTCGACGCCACGAGAATTCCAATGTTAGGTACATGTAGGGAGCCAGCCATGACGATCCCATCTCCGAACCTGCCTTTGACTTGGTCGTATGCTTTTTCCGCATACTGTTTGATCTCACTCTGGTCCAGTGTACCCGTGTTGTCAATCAATTTGTACCATGTCTTGGTGGGAAACCTGTTGTCCCATAGGCCCATTTGGAAGTCTGGAATACTGCAGTCGGCACGAGCTTCCAGCTCTCCTTGCTCCTCAAGTACCTGATGAGGATCATCCGGCTCCGTGGTCACCTGTTCATCAGGCTTGGAATTCACCAACCAGGAAGAAGGGACTTCGACCGCTGGGATTGTTGGCTCTGGCACTCCTCGATCCCTTGCCTCGATGCCCGTACATTTGTCATTGGGACCTAAAGAGGAGTCAGTCGGTATTCCTAACTAGCAGAGACCGTGGACTCTTACATGGCAGACCGGAGGTCAAAGGCGTTACAAGAAGGCTCCCCAGTAGGAATGTAAAGGAGAATGTCAGCTTCATGATGGTATTTGGGGGTCGGTCGACGGCTTATATTGGTGTATGTGTATCACGCTCAACTTGTCCATTGGATGGGCGACGATAGTCAGATATCACGGGAGAAAGAAGGAACTGGCAGATGAAAATAAATGACAGCAAATACTCTTTATCATGGCTTTTATAACGAGGACTTGGGATCTTTAAATCTATATAGGAGGATTGTGTATTTTCGATGGATGCTTAACCCCCCCGTTGATTTGCTCCCCAGTGGCAATGACACGGCCCCCAATGTCGCGTCTGCCTTACATCGCCATTCAAATGCGCCAATACTCATTCAGCCCAGTCACAGCCCGGACGGGGAGCCTTGACCGGGCGATGCTGCGTAGGTCCTAGTGGGTGACGTTGGCCGAGGACAAACATCAACGACATACAATGGCATCACGATGAAGTAATTAGATAGTAGAGGACAGAGTTGGGACCTTCGAGTATCAGATAGTCGTATATGTGTAGAGTCGGATTCTGAACTTCATAAGTTTACCAGCATCCCAAGGGCATCAACCGAAAAATATAGACAAAATGGCGTCGAAAGATACGCTTCCAGCAACAGAAAACAGAAATCATGTCAAAGGCATTCTGGACAGTCTGCCGTCAGGAACCCAAACACATCGATATCAGGGTAAAAGAAAGCTCTTGGATGTGGTCAGGCGCCAAGAGGCCCTGTTAGTAAATGATAGAGATGGCACACAAAGCCAGTACTTGATCGTTTCGCACATTGATGAGCACACTCTGCTCTCTGAAATTCTCTGTGAGAACCAAGATCACCTGGAACTGGATATTATCATCCACTATTTTAAAGAGTTCTCGGTGATGGAAAACACACTCCTGCTCAAGATGGGCCTAAGCCCAGTCCACGAAAGCCTCCACCGCAACCTCTACGACATAGTCAGAGACAAGCTAGATCCCATGGGATTGAAACGAGACGTCCTATCCACAGGGTCCACCGAGATCACCCTTCGATCCCGCCGAAAGCGACCAGATACTGGTATGCAGCCGCGCCGTCTGCCAAAAAACAGGAACAAAGGATGGCCATCGCTCATAATGGAGGTGGGATATTCCAGATCTCGCACGAAGACCGACAATGACGCCAAGTCCTGGATCTGCCAGACAGATGGAAAGATCAAAATCGGCCTGGCCATAACGGCAAACCGGAACGCCCCAGAGTTCACAATCCGGAAGTGGGTTGGGGAGGAAGGCAGCAATGGAATCGAGGCACACCTGGGCCAAGAAGTCAAAATCTCGAAAAACAAAGGCAGTTCACAGGTTCGGGTGACGGGCGGACCGTTTGTTATCGAGTTCGAGCGCCTTGTGCTGCGCGCCAAAGACGAGGAAAAGAGCCCCCCAGGAGGTCGATATCAAAATTGACGATAATGACCTGGAAGATTGGGCAGAATATGCGTGGGAAGACCAGGGATTTTGATTGGTGGTGAGACTTTACTTTCCCCGATGATGCTTTGTGTTGAGAAACTCATCCTCCCATTGTTTAGGCACTGCGAATGTTACGCCCTAGGCAGACTCCACGTACTGCCGGTCAGTTCGTCACCGTATAACGGGGGCATCATGAGCCTTGGCCACCTTTTCCCAAAAGTCTATAGATCTAAGACCTTTGCAAAGACTCTCAACAGGTAGCTTGTGAGGTAGCTTATACTCAATTGTGGTGAGAAGAGTGCTAGTGCCATTGCCAATGCAGTGTATGCAAAACTGATCAGGAAGGCTGTTGGCATGGTTATTAAATCAGACACCATTGCCCAGGTGGAATTCATCTTGAGCAGCAGGTATCTTGCAGAGCTCTGTGATTATGTCCTGTACACGATCCTCAACAGCAGATCACTCATAGCCCTCTAGGTCCTGTTCACTGCTTATCAGTCTCTTTTCAGCTTTTTGTCCCTCATACATCAGCACTGTGATGGGTGGAAAAATCCAAGGTGCTGTCTCCCCTGTCTTCCCTGTTGATCCAAGATACCTGCAAACAGAGCGATGGATTTCTTCCTGCTGGAGTTGACATTCAGTCCATGAGCACAGCTTTATTGGGCAATGTTTTCCGATCAGGGCTGATATTTTTCCTGAGGTGCAGCGAGATTCAGGTGCAACTGTCAAGGATCTTGCAATGACATTGTGGCCATATCGAATGAGCTCGCCAAAGGTCGTTTGTCGAATTTGTTCCTCTGCTCGTTTCTGTTTTCTCTCCGCCTCCAGAAAGAGCGTTTTATAATCTAAAAAGTCGTGCTGGCCATGGAGTCTGCAAGACGTGTGTGAAGGTTGAAGGTGGTTTGGCAGGAGTCTGATATCAGAAGCATGCTTGACGGCTGGGACGGGTATTAGTAAATCCTAACTAGTTAGTTAGTTAACTGGTTAACTAGCTAATCCGAGCTTGCGCGCCTTCCGAATAAGGCACTCTAGACAATGTAATTTATGATTAGATGCATATATATTTCAGTATATACCAGGTCTGACAGCACGTACATGTTGTGATGTGATGCGCTTTTCTATCATCTAATCAGACATATTTTTCCATACCAATCGAACACCAATAACCGAAATAATAACAAAACAGTGACAGAACGCAAGTCAGAATACAAGGGGAATGTAGAAAGAAATCACGAAATAAGCTGCTTCATATCCTCCATGTCCCGAATACCAGCCAAGTTACCCGCCTTGACCCGCTTAAGCGTCAGCGCAGCAATGAGCGCCGCGCCAACACCGGATCCATCCTCAGCAGCCTGGATGGAAACCTTGTCCTTGGATTCGGCAGGCCAGTCGAGAATCTCGCGCAAAGCCTGGGCACCCCGGGCCTTGAAGTGGGGGTACTTGGTGAAGACAGACCCGTCAGCACCGACGTGGCAAGAGTCGATGTTCTTCTTCTTGCAGATGGCAGCGACACCACATGAAGACAAGCGGGCGGCACGGGTTCCGATGAGCTCCGCCAGACGGCGGATCATCTCGAGCTCAGTCATGGTAGGCTTGATGCCGAGCTTGCGCTCGACGAGTTCCTCGGTCTCCTCGAGGTTCTCGTAGGGGTCTTCTTCGATGGCGGCGGGGAAGGAGGAGTCGAGGAGGTAGGGCTTGCGCAGGGCGGAGACGTCCTGATCGCGGAAGATGAGGCCGGGCTTGTTGTCAACGACGTCAAGGAGGGCGAGGCGGAAGATTTCACCGAGGTACAGACCAGCGGTCATCTTTTCGAAGGCTTGTTGGCCGGGACGGGGAGACTCGCGGTCGATGATGTGGTCGTATTTGGAGAGGGGGAGGACAATGTGTTCGTTGTCGAAGGCGCCGTATTCGCAGTTGATGGCGACAGGCATCTCGGGAGGGAGGTTGAGGTGGGCGATCTTGGGGATGGAACCGACGTTTTCCATGTAGGCAGCGTTGACGCCGGTGCCGAAAATGCTGCCAATGCGCATGTCGGTATCGGTGTATGCGGAGGCGATGAGGGTTCCGGTGGTGTCGTTGATCAACGCGGCGACCTTGATGGGGAGGCCCTGCGTTGTATTAGCAAATGTAGCTTCCTTCATGGAGATTATAGGAAGCGCACCCTCTTCTTCAAGGCATTCTCCAGCATAGGAACAACGTCCTGACCCTCAACACCATCAACGTCGAAACCCTTGGTCCAGCGCTGCAAAACACCGTGGTCGATGTAGTCCTGGGTAGCAGGGTAGGAGAAGGTGAAACCCAAGGGCAGCTTGGACAGGTTCTCGCCCTCGTGGTGGGATTCGAGGAACTGCTGCAGACAGTCGGCAATGTACTCAAAGAGTTCCTCCGAAGTGCCCGTGCGGAGCTCGTCGGGCATGCGGTACTTGGACTGGGTGATGTCGAAGGCACCCTGTTCCGCGGTCAAGGTGATTTCACAGACACGAAGGTTGGTACCGCCCATGTCGAGGGCCAGGAAGGTTCCCTGTTCGTGGCCATTGGGGAAGCCCATAACCCAAGTGACGTTCATGGGCTGACTTGTCAGTGTCGCATTCTTATCGGAGGTTATGGGGGGAGGCAGCTTACGATGTTACCACCTTCAACGCTGAGACCTGCGCATTATAAGTATACTAGAAGACACGGTAGAAGTCTAGTGTAAGCTAACTCACCTTTCTCGAGCTCCTTTTCGAAGTGGTCGACCACCTTCTTCAGGGTCTCGGTGCTGACGGTGAAGGTCTCCTCATACTCCTGGATCTGGTGCTGGAGGTTCTGAGGCAATTCCACAATGGAGGATCCTGTAATCATCAGCAACTACCTCAATGCATTATTCCCATTGTGTTGTGCCATCGCTGGTGGTAGGCGCAACGGCTGTCGCATTGCCGCAGGAGGGAGATCTCACGTACCCTTGCGGGTTTGAGGCGTCTTGGGACCAAGTCCGACCATTTTGGCAGCTGTAATAAGTAAAGATCTAAGTATTGAAGAGTAGAATTGAAGAGGTGTAGTGAAGAAAAAAAAGAGAAAAACTGGAGTGCAGAGAAGAAACTGACAGTATCGTGGGGCAAAAGTGAGGCCCCGCAACGGACATGAAGTCATTCCAACCGATTTCACCGGTTTATGCTTTGGGTTACATATGCATAACATTCAACATATTCCGGAATACTTACGGGGTACAACTATACTCTCTGTACTAGTAGATGCAGTACTACTATGTGTAAAAATAACAAAATGCTCACAGTGATGGCTTCTTCTTTGCCAAATGCGGAAATACATGTCCCAATCCCGACCCCTCGGCCTCTCCCTCATCGGCCGATTGTGCCCCGGACGCCTGCTTGGCCTCCTCCTTCGCCCGCTGACCGTCCAAATGCCCTCGCACTTTCTGTTCGTAAGCACCCGATAGCCCCAGTGTCCGGTCCACTTCACTGGTCAACCGCTCGACTTCGTCGTGGAGTCGCTCGTCCTTGGTCTGCAACGGCGCCATCTCGGCATCCCGAGCATCCTTATCCGGATTCGTCTCCTCCCACAACGCTTCAAGGTCTTCCAACCATCCAAATGCAGCGGCTAATTTCCGCACCCCAGCATCACAATCCCCAAGAATTAGTACATCATCCGGACGAGAACCCATCCCGCCTACGCGCTCCAGGTTAATCAACACACGGGGAACACCATCCGAGACAAACCCCGGTAAACTAGCAAATGGCTGCACCTGGAGACTAGTCCCCATGACAATGCACAAATCCGCCTCGCCAGGAAGCTCGTGGTTCAAAAAGAAATCTTCCGGGAGAGCCTCCCCGAAGAACACAATATCCGGCTTCACCAAACCCTTGCATTCCTTGCACGTCGGTACCTCACCCTTTTCCACGTGCTCTTTCATTTCCTGTTCGGGATATGCTGCCTTGCACTCAATGCAATGCTGGTTCGCAAAACTCCCATGCGCTTCGACTAGCATCTCGCCCGGCACCCCCGCCTGCCGCTCGAGACAGTCAATGTTTTGCGTAAAGTGTTTCAACAGCAAACCTTTGTCGTAGAGTAATTTGATAAATGAATGCGCGATCGTAGGCCGATACCGACCCGGTGCCAACTCGCGCGCCAAAGCATAGAAAGGCTTGGGGTTTCTCCGGAAGAAACTGATATCAAAGACAGCCTCGGGATCGGGTAGATCTAAAAACGCAAGATTTGCGTAGATTCCAGTATCCGGGGAGCGAAAGTCGGGGATTCCAGCTGATGTACTGATTCCTGCTCCAACCTGTTTGTATTTAGCTATATCTTCTATTTCTTCGCGGGGTAGGCTATATCATACCATAACCACGATCTTTCGCACGCGCTTCTCGTGGACATACTGGGCCAGGGCGTCCACCGTGCGCTTCTCCAATATGGACGGAGGCGTTTCTTCGTCCACCAAAGTGGACGGTTCGTTGCCCATGATGCCTCGCCGGCCGGATTTGGGCTTGTGATGGTGTCGAGGTCTGCGACGGCGGCCGATGGTGGCGGTATTTCAGGTGTATATAATATGATAGATCTTTTCTAACTAATACGGACTAATATGGGATCTGAGAAGCGGGAAAGGAAATCTCGTCATGACGTCGAGTTGAGATATGCCCGATCGGGTAATTCATGCCTGAGGTGTCTGTCATGTTGCATCGTCGCATTCATATTGGGCATTCACGTCGCAGGGATTAGTTATTCTCTTTTTTCTACAAAACTATTATTAATATATCCAATCTCTCTTCAATTGAATGCTCATGGTATCGTGACTCCGCCAAAGCCACTCACCGCCTTCACCCCGCGGAAGACCACCTCGCATAAACATCTCCTAATCTCTCATCTCCAACAATCCATTGTCTTCTCCAATTGCCAAAATGGCCATCCCACCAGCTAGCGCTGTCAATGGACACGCAGATTCACCCTCGTCCTCCTCTCCAAACTCAGAAAAATCCCCGCAACCGCAACCGCAACCGCAACCC